GTGTGTGCAGGAATTTTCAGGGGGTCAAAATTGCATAAATTGAAGGAAAAATGCATAATTTGACAAAATTGGGTGTAACATTTTTATTAAGTCATTAAACTATCCAAATTATGTCTTTGATTACAGTTAATATGTTCTGTTATCTGAATTTGGCAAACATTTTGTTTCATTTAACTGTTATTCTAATTCTCAGTGAAAACATTGGTAAAAATCATGTTTTTTACTTCATTTTCAAATCTTGCGAGTAGGTAAAACACTAATTCCATTGGATTGTGACAATAAAACCACTATAACTAGGTATTAAAATCTGCCTTAACCATTGTACTATCCTGTACAAAAAACAAAATGAAAATATATTACATAGGGGTTGAGATATTGTATACAATGTTACCCAACCCCCCAAAGACCAATTTTGACGAAAATTGCTTATTGAGATATGGTGGTAGATGCTGCTGCTGTAGTGGATGAGTGGGATAATTGCAACAATGCTTAAAAACACCAAAATAGTAAACTCATAAAGAAAAATGATGTTTCAAGTTTTTCTGTGAGCATTTATGGTGGCCATCTTGAATTTCAAGATGGCCGCCATTTTGAGCTGTTTTCAAAATCAAGTTCTTATATAGTTCTTCAACATGGTCATGTAATATATCATATGAAAGCTTTTCACATTGTCTTTTCAATGATGTACATTATTCACTGACTTCTGTGGTAAATTGATCCCCAACAATGAAAAAAGGAAATATTGAAAGCTAATAATTTCTCTCTCGACTTCAACCCATACCCAAATTTAGATTTAAATTAAAATGGACATATTTTCACTCAAAATTGTAGATATACTGCACTTTTGTCTGAGCATTTCACTAGTATATAATTTGAGTGAAGAAACAAACATGAGAATACTTGTATTATTATAAAGTATTTAAAATAAAATGTGAAATAATGTCATCTCTAGTCACCGAGTTATCTGGAGAGGTAGGTAAGTTGTTTCTTTTTAGGCATGACATAGCACAACTGCATCCAAAGGGAACATCCCATGATGTTCTCAGCGCAGCTACACCTGAATGAGGAGCATCTACCTGTTGTGCATTTACATGTGAGCAATTCTAGACACAGTGCTGGAATTCGTTTCTGGGTCATTGGGATGGGTTCTATGACATCGCCTGTAGACGTCCACCTATACCCTTTTGGTGGTGGAATGTCAGCCCCTCCTTTGTGGGCAGAGCACCACGTGATGCACTGGTGCTGACATCTGAGTAGAGGTTGTGTGGTGGGAGTTCCTCTAGGTCTCAAACTCTGTGAAACATGTCAGCTGTAAGTGTATTAATGCTAGTTGCAGTCGATGCTGGATTGTACATTTTGATGACAAGTGTCTCTTTCATGTTGAAGATACCAGTTTCTTTGTTGGTTGCAACAAATCTGGTTGTGCGATAAATATGTTCCCGGTCCACAACCTGTGACCGCATGGAATGCTGGTAGAGCTGCTACAACATCTGAGAGAATGCGAGATTGATGTACATCATCAACTGATATGCACCCATTCATATCTGAGCAGAAAACCGATATTTATGATGTTTCAACTGTACTAACACATCAGTGTCTCGGCTGTGAATGACACTGTGGTCGTATCCATTGCAGGTGGCATCCATGACATTGATCACCATTCGTGTATCTGCCTCTTCATGTGTTGACTGTAGATTTGGCATTGCTTCAGATTGATCTATGGAAGATACTGCTGTCCCTGGGCTGCTTAATCCACCTGCAATGATGATGATTTGATGTTTATGATGGAGATGCTGTACCTGTGTGTGCAATTCTGTGGTCAAGAATTGTATCAAATTTTGCTTGTTCATTTCAATAAAACTGGACAATGGAGCCAGCAGAAGGATGTCTCATTTATCTATTATTCTTCGAAGTTTCTTTGATTCTAATTTGAAATTTGACTTTGAAACATTTTGGTCAAAGTCATCATCGACTTTAGTACAAGTTTCACTGAAGTTCTTAAGCACATTCCAGTTGAAAACATCAGCCAAATCTCCAAAGGTCCTAGCTTTGCTTGGTTTGCCTATAGCCTGTACAAGAACCATGCCAGAAATAACAATACATGTTGTGTCATCAGTGGATGGGAGCATGAGAATCTGCAAGCAAATGTGATAATGCAGCTTTGTTGTACAAAGTAGGCCATCTGTTATTGCCAGGGAAGGTGGGGTCTGGGACAGCTCATGTGTTAGAAGATGTTGTACGTTTACTTCTCTTCCACTGTGGGAGGCACTCAGCAATCTTCTGAGAAGTTTTCTTCCTTGCTTAAAGGTATTGTTTAGAGTTGACTTCTTTGATACCTGCAGGGTGTACAGTGTGGAACATGTACTGTTGGACGTTTTTATCTGATATTTTGTCATGAATACTCTTAGCATTATCCCCCAATCGATTGTCAATGAACTCTGACAAAAGCTTGTCATCTCGATTCATACCATGATGATGTAATATCTTCCTTAGATCAATTTGCAGCAATACCAAATCTACTATAAACGCATGAAGAGGCAGATACACGAATGATGATGCTTGTCATGGATGCCTCCTGCAATGTATACGACCACATTGTCATTCACAACCGAGACACTGATGTGTTAGTACCGTTGATACATCATAAACATCGGTTTTCTGCTCAGATATAGATGGGTGCAGGTACTGCAAAGGACCCTCTTTTCATACAAGTTGATGATGCACATCAATCTCTCACTCCAGATGTTGTAGCAACTCTACCAGCATTCCATGCGGTCGTGGTTGTGACACAACAAGCCAGTTCAGTGGTTATGGCAAGAAGTCGACCGGGACATATTTATCGCACAACCAGATTTGTTGGAACCAACGGAAGAAACTGGTGCCTTCAACATGAAAAAGACAGACTCACTTGTCATCCAAGTGTACAATCCAGCATCAACTGCAACTAGCATTAATAGTCGGAGTCGGAGACCTAGAGGAACTCCCACCACACAACCTCTACTCAGATGTCAGCACCAGTGCATCACGTGGTGTTCTGCACACAAAGGAAAGGCTGACATTCCACCACCAGAAGGGTATAGGTGGTCGTCTACTGAGGATGTCATAGAACCCATCCCAATGACCCAGAAACGAATTCCAGCACTGTGTCTAGAATTGCTCACCTGTAAATGCACAACAGGCAGATACTCCTCATCCAGGTGTAGCTGCGCCAAGAACATTATGGGATGTTCCCTTGGATGCAGTTGTGCTATGTCATGCCTAAACAGAAACAACTTACCTACCTTTCCAGAAGAGATGGACTCTGATGGTGACTAAAGATGACAATATTTCACAGCCCTTGACTCTGTGATATAATTTTTAATACTTCAAAATACTACAAGAATTCTCATGTTTTTTTCACTCAAACGATAACCTAGTGAAATGCTCAGTATATCTACAATTTTGAGTGAAACGATGTCCATTTTATTAAAATACGACTTTGGAGGTTAGTTGGTGTGACTAGAGAAATTAGCTTTAGATATATCATTTGTTGTATTATTGGGGGATAAGATTACCACAGAAGTCAGTGAATAAAGTTCATCATTGAAAAGACATTGTAAAAAAACTTTCATATGATATATTACATGACCATGTTGAAGAACTAAAGTTCAGTATATCTACAATTTTGAGTGAAAATATATCCATTTTAATTTAAATCTAAATTTGGGTATGGGTTGAAGTCGAGAGAGAAATTAGCTTTTTAATATTTCCTTTTTTCATTGTTGGGGATCAATGTACCACAGAAGTCAGTGAATAATGTACATCATTGAAAAGACAATGTGAAAAGCTTTCATATGATATATTACATGACCATGTTGAAGAACTATATAAGATCTTGATTTTGAAAACAGCTCAAAATGGCGGCCATCTTGAAATTCAAGATGGCCACCATAAATGCTCACAGAAAAACTTGAAACATCATTTTTCTTTATGAGTTTACTATTTTGGTGTTTTTAAGCATTGTTGCAATTTTCCCACTCATCCACTACAGCAGCAGCATCTACCACCATATCTCAATAAGCAATTTTCGTCAAAATTGGTCTTTGGGGGGTTGGGTAACATTGTATACAATATCTCAACCCCTATGTAATATATTTTCATTTTGTTTTTTGTATAGGATAGTACAATGGTTAAGGCAGATTTTAATACCTAGTTATAGTGGTTTTATTGTCACAATCCAATGGAATTAGTGTTTTACCTACTCACAAGATTTGAAAATGAAGTAAAAAAACATGATTTTTACCAATGTTTCCACTGAGAATTAGAATAACAGTTAAATGAAACAAATTGTTTGCCAAATTCAGATAACCGAACATATTACCTGTAATCAAAGACATAATTTGGATAGTTTAATGACTTAATAAAAATGTTACACCCAATTTTGTCAAATTATGCATTTTTCCTTCAATTTATGCAATTTTGACCCCCTGAAAATTCCTGCACACACTTGCAAGCTTACTACCCAATGGAAATTGTGTACACATACCTCCTTTATGCAATAGAAAAGGTTTAAGGTATACAGGAAAATGTGGGAACGAAAATCTAAACTAAGCCTCTTTTCCTCTGGTGGCCAACTGACTAAGAGAGGATAAGATGTGAAGATGACAGAACAAGAAAGCGCAATTTTGAATTTTGAGAAAGTAACATTCGAAGTTTGAAGTTATACACTTGCAAATTGTCTACACCCGGAGAAGGGCATGTATATGATGTTTCATTGGATAACCCGTCGTCAGTCGTGGAACATTGTTTGTAACCAAACCGAAGTTTCAGTTTGCAGTCGTGAAATCAATGATTTACATGGGACAGGTAGCAGATGCATGTTACATGTACACTTAGTTGAAAACCGTATGACGCATGTGCAGAGCAGGAAGCACACCAGGAACATCTGTCACGTGTGAGCAGTGATTTAACATGATTGGTGTTTGCATACTTTATCCAAGCTCATATGAGCTTGAAACTCCTTGATTCCTACGTATTAGGTGAAACTCCCCATTTGATAAACAGTTCTGTCCTGTCCGAAACCAGCAATGCAACTCCAACTGATGTTATTTCTCTGTGTGGCAGTCTGTTTGACTGGGGGGAAAGCGGTTGCCGGAAAAGGTAAGCTAGGAAAGGGGTGAATGTAACAAATTTACCACTTGAGTTATCTATATGATGTCTAGAAAGACACTTCTTGGCATAACTTTTGTGTATGTGTTTTAACCTGTGTCTGGGATATTGGTTGCCCAGTGGCCTAAGGTTCCACAAATCGATGTGTCGGGTTACGTGACATAATTGATCCGATCATTATGGGTTCGAATCCCTGATTATGATTCAATGATCGAAACCCGGTGTGGGTGTCCCAAGCCTGAAATGACAAATAATTAAAGAAATTTAAGCTGTCCACACGCACACAAAAATATTTCCAGAAGAGAGCATCTTTCTGGGGTAGATAGAAGCGCTTAACTTTACAGCTGTCTTTACGTCGTTCTCCTGTTATAGGTATGTACATTAGATATAGATACAGAATGCTATCTCGTTTCGTTTGCATGCACGCGTCTGTTTACCTTTTTGTATTGTAGAAAATTAGAAAGATTCATATACACAACAACGAAAAGGCCATTATTTTTACTTTATTCGCAAAAAAGATAAAGTCTGCGTATTATTCGAAATAAGCTTATAATCTTGACAGTGAATTCCATTTTCTTTTGAAATAATAATAATAGTAATAATATTCCAGCTATAGACATTCAATTTGAAACTATCCCTTTTGTTCAAACATGAATGTAGCTGTTTTGAACCAAAATTGTATATTCGAAGAGCGACCATTTACGAATGTGTCGGTTTCTGGAGATTTGAAGATCTCGGAACCATTGTGAAATTTGTGTACAAATGTCGAATTTGTAAAGATTCAAATTTCCCCATAAACCTGACGGCTTCTACGTTTAAGTAACATGTACTAGGTATGCGTGTCAAATAAACCAGATGGTCACAAAACAGTCGTTTCCATCGTTAAAAAAACAAGAATCGTGACCATTTCAGGGGCATTACATTTGTTTTATTATGTGAAACGTGGATAAAATAATTACAATTGTACCAAGGGAGGTAAACCCTTAGGGTCTATTCAAGAAATTGTGTAAAATTTAGGTCACCCTAGCATGTGACTTGTAAATAAAATGTAGGAGCATTGGTTACCTACATGAATAACAAAGAGCAAAACAGAGCACACACACTTCCTCTTTGTCTGTCTGGCCTCTATCACTCCTCTGTCCTGTATTTCAGACAACGTTTAGATTATGGTCATTTTTCTCCAGCAAGGTGACTGTCATCGTCCATTTTCTTTTGCTAGGTTAGGGAGTCGACTGGCATCTGACATGCGTGTTTTTCTCTATGTGATAGCTAAATTGCCTTAGGATTCCTATCTCAGTCATAAAGGGCACTTGGAAGGGACTACAGTGTAAGTATGGTACAATGTGCTTCATTAGCCGTTAGATAAAGTAGAAACGAGGGATTTTCCGTATTGAACAGTGCATGGCCATCAGATGTACAAACATCATGAGAGGTGATGTGATGATGATATTTGTTGAACGTGATCCATAAAGTTTTACACTTTTGACTGAGTCTCCGAAACAAGGATCCCCTTAAGGCAGTTTTCCGAGCGCCTTATCACGACGTGACAGGGCTGTCCATTTCAACAATTTCCAGTCTTCGTCCTCTCACACTTAGTACAGTACTCCACGACTATAGATACAGCGTATCAGCTCATCACAGTGGGAAAGGAGAGTTACTTGACCAGCTATAATGTTTCATTGATGGCATTTCTCAATTACATAATTCTTCACTGGGATGTTAAGCAGTGGATACTGGTGGACACCATACATCATTTTATCAGCATATTCCTGGATCATTTGAGAGCTTCACCTTCAGAGTAATGTTCCCTTGGTGGTGGTATGCCTATCATCCCTGAACACCAGACATACTTAATGTCCTGTTGCAATGAACAAGGCACAACAACAGTTGCAATAGTATGTTCCCCTACAGAAATACACGCAACATTAACCGTGTCGTGATTCTCTCAGAACAATCACTCATCATTTTCCAGTATTCCTTTAATATAATTAATTTTTCGTTGTGTTGACTGAAATTCCTGCATTCTGATTAGCTGAAATAGCCACGTGTTATTGCATTTATTTCCCAGTGAAAGTAAAACATTAAGCCTAGCTCACCGAGACTACTTTTATTACTACGGAATGTTGGGGAATCCCTTTCGAGGGAATTCCCTTTCTGCTAACGTGTATCGTCATACTAAGGAGGTTTAGCGAAATTCATGCATCCTCCTTGTCCAACCTACCCGTTGAGACTGAATTCCGAGAAGGAATGAAACAGCAAACGTGCAGGCTCGCTCGACTGCTTTATCCCCCGCTCGCCTCGGTTCCACAACTTTCATGTCTTCGGGTTTCATTTCTAATGGCATTTTCAATGTCTGTCTTCCCGTTCTCGGGGAACTTATGTTTGAATCTTGTGGTAACTGACCATGTCATTTGAAACAGCCGCTTTTTCCGGACATATTTTTTTGGGTTTGTTGCAGCTGTTCTTGCCTCTTGCCTTGATTGACAGGTTCTGTGAACTTTGTTTTGATCCTACTCTCCGTTGATTGGCTACTGAGAAACAACACAGTCAATCCTTAAATCACATTTGAAGTTATTATGTCTGGTCATTTCTTGTTCAATAAATTAGGAAATCATCAAATCCGACATAATTATTTATACATGAATCCTTTTGATGATAACAGAAACTGCTTGATAATTTTTCAATACCATACTTAAATCCGTTAATTAATGGAACTTCGAGTTGGCACGACTCATTATCCTATGATTCAGTTTTTTGATGAAAACTACGCATTTCTCTCTTGTATAGCACATTCAGGAGACTTTCTACAAACTCTATGAAAGTGAAGACAAGCCAGATTTGTTTTATTATCAATGATCTTGTAATGTATATATAGATATACTATTGTCGGATACTTTCAAAGAAATTTCAATTTCAGGTCACTCTAAGTTCCGGGCACTTTTACTAACAGTTCGTACACGTCCATCTGACATTGGTCATGGGTGTAACACTACATCTTCGGTATTCCATGTCCCTGTATCAGGTAAGAATGGGATTTTTAATATCCAGAACTGTAAGTTACCCAATTAAATATGATGTATCTAATACCAATAATAGTCTGATATGATATCTGAAGTTATTCCTTGTTCAATAACTTAAGGAAATCATCAATATGTCAGAACAAAGTTTGTAACTTTTCTCACATGTGTGCCATCGCCTGTCATCTGGACCATGAGATGTTTGAGATCAGGATCAGTTTTCTAGATCTCTTCAGTTTATGCTTCTATCTTTGATGTCATGTCCTTCAGGGTGATTACTGAAGGAAACACCAAACCTGGGAAACACCTAGGGAAAAACATTGAGTAGCTTCTTGTACCATACGACAAAAGAACATCCACTTTCATTTAGAAATCCTTTGATGCTGGAACTGCTCATTTGTAGATGTTATTGAGTTGCAATGGGTGGAATCGTGACGTCATAGCAATATTTTGACCAAAACGTTGCAACAGAACGACGTTGTCATATTTTACACATGAAGCTTTAAAGGAAGCCATATTTCATGGATCGCCAATTGGTTTCTGGTATGCTTTAATGTTTTCGAAATCACCTAAAAAGCATTAGATTTGTGAAGCCTTAAGACGACCCTGATGTGATATCGCCGGAATATTGACAAAGGCTTTGTAAAACCGTACATACTCACTGACAACTCACTCGAAAATACATATTCTGATATCATTTCAGCTCCTTTGGTATACTTTAAGGCAACTTTAAGTTCGAACTCTGGGGAACCTCACCCCTTTGGTGTTGGCAGCACCATCCTATTTAGCAGCGTTGAGGGAAACGTTGGTGATGGGTATAACTCTACATCTGGGGTATTCCATGCCCCTGTCTCAGGTAAGAGTGGGATCTTTAATATCCTGAACAGTTAGGTACCCCATTAGATATCATGTATCTAATACACATATTACTCTGATGTGATATTTGAGTTATTTAGTCAAGATATTCCTTGTTCAATAACTTCAGGACATCATCAAATCCGCCATAATTGCATACACATGAATACTTCTGATGATAAGACAAACAGCTTTTCAGTTTTTCAATACCACACGCAAATCAGTTAATTACTGCAACTTTGAGTAGTCTCTACTCAATATTCCATGATTTTCTTATGTAGCACCTTCATTTGTAGGAGACAATATGCGACGTCTACGAAAGTGGAAGCTGGCCATAGTTGTTTTATTGAAGTGATCTCGTAATAAACATTTAAATATAATATGATCGGATACATCCAAAGCACAAATTCTTTCATGAAATCTCCATGTTAATTAAGAGATAAACATACTATGTTTTCAATGTAGAGCTAGGTTACCTGTAGATTTAACCGCGCTAAATTTAACATTTGAAATCTCACGCTGCGCGTTCGGTTCCAAATTCAATTTAGCGGGGTTAAATCTACAGGCAACCTAGCTCTACATTGAAAAAAAAGTATGTTTATCTCCATTCTACCATGACTAAATAAAACGCGTACTCTTTGGTGTTAGCAAATATACTGAGTGAAGCGGCATGGGTTGAGTTCAGTGTTTTGAGTGGGTTATCGATCTGAATTACGGAATCACCGAACAAAATATGGTTTGTTTACACCGTTTTACTTCACTGAACATATGACAGGCATTGAAAGCTTATAAGCACGGTAACTTGGTAAGCTAACATGAGGTGGGCATCCCTAAAGAAAACAAAGCAAGCGTTGCAAGTCTCTCGCTCTACATCGCACGTCACCACTATGCCGTCATATCGCTCATTGTGACGCAAAAGATATGACGTCACAGTCGTATATAGAAAAGCGCCAAAATTCCAAGCTCTCTGTTGTCTCCAAAACGTAAATACATTCCCTTTGTTGATTTCTGTCGTGTTTTTCTGCACGAAATGTATTGCCACACATCCTTTGAATATTTTAGTAACCGCATCTGTGCATTTTGTAACCTGTAATTGTAGATATGATTATTTAAATATGACTACCGACAATGACTGAAAATAGTACTATTCTATGAATATTAACTTCCGCGGCGATGCGGCCGTCAAACCAGCTGTTTTAATCAGAGGGGGTTTATTGTGATTTAATAGGCTCTGATTGACCAATCAGAATCGAGTAAATTTCAAATTCATGGTAGAATAAAGAAATAAACTCTTGCCAACCAAGCAAAAAAGGTGATAACCGACAGTTGGTCAGACCTTGGCTGGTCCAATCGTGATTTTGAAGAGGAAAGTGGCTTGTGGCCTTTTTATGCATCCAACACCTGGCTTTCTAGGAGCACTTTACTAGACATGAATCGTCCTCGTATGGTGTTAATTGTATTGTAGCGGTTATGGCGTCTCTGAGAACACCGTTTCAGCTTTGAACCCTGAGAATATCAAACCCTCCCTACTTTTCTTGCAACTCATTGTCTTGTTGCCTTAAGGGCAACTGAAACACAAAAGAAAGGAAACATATATGAGTTTTCAAGGTATGGTAGTTTTTAGTGAAATTTAGAGATGAGGAATATGTTCAATGCTCTTTTCATTTGCAGGTTACTATCAGTTCCATGCACTGTTACAAACAGTTGGTTCAGGTGGAGCTGACTTCTCACTGTTGGCCCAGGGCTCTGCGAAAGCAAGAATCCACCTTCTAGGACCCTGGAGAAGTGTTTCAATGAGTGTTATCATTCACGTCAACAAAGGTGACCACGTGTTCGTTAAAAAGACCTGGCAAAACGGTAACTCCCCATTAAGACAAGGGGAGTGGTCGCAGTTTTCTGGATTCCTGCTTAGAAAAGACTGATTCAACATCTGTCTACAAGTAAAAGTAAAATAAAATGGATTCACTTTGTTCTCTCTTTCGAACTGTATACTGTCTCAATCACAACCACAATGTCTACAATGTTGCAACTGGCTACTTCATTATCAAGAGTACCAACGGTTATTGATTTACCGCTAATTTGTGTGTACTTTACATTTCAAATGACAGCGACCCATGCTTGCCGTAAAAGACGACTATGCTTGTCGTAAAAGGCGACTAACGGGATCGGGTGGTCAGGCTCGCTGATTTGGTTGATGCACGTCATCGACCCCAATTGCGTGGATCAATGCTCATGATGTCAATCACTGGATTGTCTGGTCCAGACTCGATTATTTACAGACCGGCGTCATATAGCTGGAATATTGCTGAGTGCGGCGTTAAACAACAAACCAACCAACCAAATTTAACAAAACAACTGTTACGTCATGGCCATAAGCATTCTAATATTTATTTCAGTCAGTATGTAAATTAGCAGTGTACAGACTGCCGTCATATAGCTGGAATATTGCTGATTGCGGCGTTAAACAACAAACAAAAACAAAACAAAACATTTCAAATGACCGAAATCAGTCATCTGAATACATCCAATAGTAAATCACCGGATTGATTTTCGAAAGTGACTTACTTCCCACGTGGTGAATGAGTGAGTGAGTCAGGGATTTACTAAGGCCGTGTGCCGAACAGGGTCGAACTTGTTTCGATTGAATTGGCGTGAGATTATTGTGTTTTCTTTTATGTTAGATCGCGAAACTCAAGGCTTACATGTAACTCAACCAAATTAGGGCATTAGACCATAAATATACCCCATCAAATAAAAGATAAAGAAAAGATTTAGACATTCTGATCACATACTTAAGGAACCATCTTTTACTTTAATTTAAGTGTATAAATCCACCTTGCCAAAAAGCCAAGTGAGAGGATTTTTCATTGTTTAAACGTATTTTCGTTGCAGAGGCTGCACAATCAGTGTAAAGCGAAGTGTTAACTCTAACCCAAAAAACTAACGAAAAATAGCATCTTACATTCGAAAATTTTAACATGGTGGTAAACAATAAAATATCAGGCTCATTCTCATTATAATTCCCACGTTTATGATGAGGGTACCTTCTGTGGCACAATGAACTCGTGTACAGCATGGTGTTTTAACATCAATATACCCAACGCCTATATATGACAGACAGCTACTTTTAGAAACAAAGTTACCTCTAAGAAAAATGAAGCAAGCCATGCAGGCTTCCTAAATCACAAATCACTATTATGACGCAACACTGCTACTGAGAGGCAAAAATTATGATATCACAGTCAGAGATAGAAAAACGCCTAATGTAAAGATGTTATAAAATTTGAATTACACTCTCTCTATATCTATTGTCATTTATATAAAAGACTCTTTCAATATGGATGTCACCATAAGTCTGCATTTTGTATTCTATAATTGTACAAATGAATATTAATAAATGTCTTTCGTCAATGATTAAGAAAGAAGTATCTCTCTGGAAGTATTAACTTCCAAGTTGATGCGCACAGTTTCAACAGTTTCAATCAGAGGTGTTTATTGTGATTAAAAATCTTTGATTGATCAAACAGATTACAGCATTTATCAAATTCATAATAGGATAAATCAAAAGGGTTGACCTTTTAACATAGATTTTCAGCGATGTGGCTTTACATAAAACGCTTAAAGCATTCTACCACCTGAAATAGTTTAGTTGCTCATAGGCATCCAGTTGAAATTCAACGTCAATGCTTTAAACAGTTGATATGTTTCCTGGATTCATAATCATGTTACAGGAATCTTTGATATCACTTACTACGAATTGTTGAACAGATTATTAAAAACACAAAACGTTGCTGATGAGCTGACGACCGAGGTCAAAAAGACCTGTACAGGTTCTATAGTATAAGTTGCCAGCAACCCACGCAGGTTCTACAATTTCAGTGGTACACAGACATTAAGTTGTCAGCCAGAGTTTCAGAGTTTCAAGACCGCCTCCGTGGTGTAGTAGACAGACCATCTGCCTGGAGCTCTGATAGTCGATGGCTGATATCCTGGCGGCGTCATACCAAAAGACGGTAAAAGATTTGTTGTGTCCCTGCCTGGCGCTCGACATTAAAGGATTAAACAAGGACTGGTCGGCTCGGATGTCCCCAGGATTTCCCCCATAAATCTATGCTTGTCATTCTGGATCAACTGGATCTGTTGGTGGGGCACGGTGACTTCGTAGACCCAAACTCAATTTATGCAGCAGTGCAGTGGTAACAAACAAACAGACAAACAAACAGAACTACCGACATTTCGATAACACTTATATTTGCAGAATGTCCTTGAAAACGAGAATACTTCATGACTTGACAACAACAACCTATTTCATTCCCTTGTCTCTAGTAACATCTGAGGCAAAACATCAACAAATATGTTGGTACAATACTATCGATTTGTCGGTGGATAGGAAAACTTCACACGTCTACGTATCACACCTCTACTCAAACACAACATACGTATAGATGTTGGCTAGCAGCATGCAGCAGTGATTGTGATGGTATATATGACACGTGATATTCCAGGATGTAGACATCCAAATACCGTGAACAAACCCCTGACTGAACAGATATAAACACCATATGAAATTAGTGAAACAGTTAAACGATTACTTGTACTTTTTTGTGCTTCAAACGGCTCGTGGTGTAGGACCTAAGGCGGGACACATAAAACCACATATACCCCACGTGATGCTGCTACTACTTCTATCAAAACCATGTAACTTGGGTGGCATTTAACACGAGATCTTCTACTTTATCATATAATGGGTTGGTTTCTCGGCAGGATAAAGCCAACGATATCCGTTGGGGTCATATGCGGATAGAGATGCAAATATCAAAGGTCAAGTAGGGACTACTTTCAGTGTTTATAAACAAACATGGCGTCGCCCTTGTCATTTGGCGATCGAGTCAGAATTAACCATCGGAAATCTGGATAAACTACAGGGATAATTGCTATCATTAGCAAAAGAACAGTCTAATATACTGAAAACCAGTGTCTAACTGTGACGATTAAGGCATTTGATAGGTTTGGGCTACTTTGGAGATATAAATTTCGAAACAATCAATTTTGCGAGGGCACTAGGCCGAGCCAAGCGGGATCAGTAGCCGTATCTGTGCTTGTAGACCTCTGCGGCATGAAACCTTTTTGGCCGAAAGCTTAAGATGTTTGAATTGTTACCTTGTTTCGTTTTGTCGCTGTGTATACATCTGATTGCCCTTCTTAACGTTATGACAGGACAGGCCGACTGTCAGCAACGTCTTAACGTGGCCGTGACGTCTCATAGACTAGGATTAGAGTAGCTTCCCTTTGACAAAGGGCAGTTTCTCTAGCGGACAGACCGATGGATTGCCGCGAAAGGCAAAACACAATTGTTGTTTTGCGTATATGTTGCTTCGCCAATGTATAAGAAACATATTTCAGTTGGAACTATATTGGATACTGCCACTGTCCGACTTACACATCACTTACCCAGTGACGTGATAAATATTAATGCGCGCATTCCAGGAAAACTCGCAATGTTTCGTTAATGTTTGTGAGAGAGAGAAAGCGAGAATTAAAGGAGGCATTATATGATAAAGAGGTTATCACACTTGTGTGTTTGGGGATGGTAAATATCCTGTATTAGGAATAAACACTATGTATTTAGCTCGCCAAGGCTCGCTAAATACAATGTTTATTCCTAATGCAGGATATTTACCATCCCCAAACACACTCGCGTGATAACCTCTATTTCAGTTACCACATAAGTCAGTGAGAGCATAATGCCCACTTAAGAATTACCTTTCACTTTGTGTGAGTGCTAGGAGCCAGGGCAAACTATAAGAGCGAAGTGACTTCCGCCACTCACTCACTCGGTACGTGTGACCTCATGTTTACACTGGTGGCACGGCTGGCGCAGTCTTTAAAGGCGCCTCCATTCACTGTACAGAATAACGTCACGAAACGCCAGAAACCTATGATCGTAGGTTCGAATCCCGGTTCGCCCCGATTGTGTTTCTAGGTCTGTCAGCCTCATACCTATGCTCGTGGGTTTCACCAAAGTGGTAAAGGTTTGAGACCTGCATAACTTTGGGCTTTCCTCCCACGCCGTAATATTATTGGAATACTGTTCAAACTCAAAGCAATTCACGCACTCACTGAGTAAACGATTAAAGCGGTGGTAAACCCCAAATACCCCACATTAACCCCCTTTGTTGGTAACAAAAACTTATATTGAATGCCAGAGGGGAGGTGCGTGTTTCGACCCAGTAAGTCACAGTGACAAATGAAATTTCATTCGGTTGAACAGAGTGAATTAGACTGAAGTTGATTTCTCTTGAAGGTAAAGCCAGATATAAAGGGAGGTTATGCACGGTAGAGGGCGCAACCGTGAGGGGTATATATAGGAATTGTAAAGCCCGGGTAGTTCAATCTCTCCTGTGGTGTCGCCGTTACAGTGCGGTCTGTTTATTTTATGTTTGTCCTGTGCGTTATGGTTATGAACATTTTCTGTTGTCAGGTGTTGGCAGTCTTGCTGCAAGACAAATGTCGTCACAGTGACGAGTATGGTTCTGAACCGCAAAGCATGGATGGTAGGTACCTGGTACATGCATGTATCTTACAGTAAGATGTTAGAGTGTCGGTGACTGGCGTGGTTCTGAGATCATATGGATCAAGGCTAGTGACGCCACTGGTGTTTGTAAAAGGAAATTCCATGCAGAGTAAATGCCTCGGCGTGTGCCACAGGGGAAGCCACATTGTGTGTTTGTTGTTTATATCTGGCTTGACGAGGTTTTGGAAGAGAATGCGTCGCAACACCTGTTTTCAAGCAAGTACACAACTTCAAAATGGCCAACTGACAAAACTGGTATTACTAAATGTTTTTTTGCGTGTAGGTGTTATTCACCATTTAAATGGTTATATAAGATAGCTACTCGATAAATCACAAAGAACAATAAAGAATGTAGCGTGGTTTATTTCACGATAGGATAACTTGATGACGTCGTAAATTGGACGACGTTATATTTGAGAGGTAGACGTCAAGTGAATTGTTCCCGATGAGGGTACCTTCTGAGGCACAATGAACTCATGTACAATATGGTGTTTTAACATCAGTATACCAAACTGCTATATCTGACAGACATTGCAAGTGTGTATGTAGTACAGCTAATTTAAAGAACAAAGTTACCTCTTAGAAAAATGACCGATCTCGTCAGTAGCCTCTTACGACAGACATGGGTTGCTGAAAATCTATTCTAACCCGAATCTTCACGGGAAGCCCAATTCGGTCGCCTCTTACGACCAGCAATTTGGCACTGGAGACGCATTCTTCCCCGGGTCCCCACGGGGCACTGAACTAATAAAACACCTGGGAAGAACAATGCCACACATGACTGAAGGCAGTACAATTAATAATGTAGGCAGTATTACTAATAAGTATCCCCAAGTGAAGAAATGAATAAGGAAAAGTAAATCAATAAACCACGACACAACACAACATACAACCTAACTAAAACCTATAATGTTTTATGACAAGAACTCTCAATTATGAATGTTCAAACAAAGTCCAGGAAGTCTATTTAAAACGCATTACCTCCCCTCCCCTATTACATAATTAATAGTTAATCTATTCCAGATGAAGCCGTGAAGATCCGGGGTAGAATAGGTCTCCAACAATCAATGCTTGCCGTAAAGGTTTACTATGCTTGTCGTATACGGGGCCCGACTATTCGGGATCGCATGATCAGGCTCGCTGACTTGGTTGATGTATGTCATCGTATCCTAATTGCCTGGATAGATGTTCATGATATCAATCACTGGATTGTCTGGTCAAGACTCGATTATGTACAGACCACCGTGATATATCTGGAATATTGCTAAGTGCGGCATTAAGCAACAAACAAACAAACAAACAACTTATTCCAGATGATCGTCAACACGCTGACAATATAAGGGAAGCTAAATTATTTAAGCATAACTGGTAAACCGTACGCTGTATGTTCGTGAAACATTATATCGTCTACATTATATGTTATTTATTTAATGACAATGCCTTGAGGTATAACTCTTTGAACCGTGACATGTTTTTTTTCTGTCTGTGAGCCTGTGATGTCTAGGCATATCATATTATTAACTCATATCCGTGAAGCGTTTATTTATATGAAACCAACTTATATGTGTAGTAAGTTAGAAGTAACGTCAGTATTGTATAAACATTTTCTCACAGTCAGTGATATTCGAGCTATCTCACGGCGACCTGTGAAGAATCCTGTTTGGACAAGGCAAACTAGTGATTGATAATATGAGCCATAACCCAGGCAGTCGCGGAACGCTGACACGCAATCAACCAAATCACGGAACCAGACCTTCCGATCCAATGAAGCCCTTTCTTGTGGCAAGCATAGGTAACATGGGACAAACATGATGTCCTATGCAGTTCCCTATTTTGATCTGTACCATAAGTTCCCGTGTGTTTTTCAGATGAATATGTGACATGACCTTGCATGTGTTTGTGACGGGTGCTACCGGTTTGGCAGGATACGCGAACGCCTCACTATTTCATAGTGATTTATAAACATAAGCTAATGGTACCGCCGGAATCGTACAATCGACTTTGCTTTCAGCATATGTTTCTTCTGAATATGGAAAGGGTTTTGTATCTTGTATGAACTAGGATTCCCAACGTTCACACTTTCAAAATGGCATAATTGGCAAACAAGCACCAGAGTGTTATCTTTCATCAGTGTCATCAGCATTACATGTTATGGTTCTCACTGTATAAGTAAAATCAACACACGCCAGCTACTTGGGAGAGCAATGTATCACGGTCGGGTTAGTTGCGCGTCGCCATACCCGAGGGCGTTGGGCGTTGTATATTGACACTCGATTATTTACTGGCCACCGGAATTCAGAATCACTGCGTATCGCGTGATAGTCTACCGATGATATCTAACAGTTGGATATATGTTGGTCACGCAAGTGTTGGAGGGACAATCAGAAATAGGAACATTATACTTGATTTTTCATTTCTTAAAATGAAAAACATTATGCATGCCAAAGTTTGCATGAGCATTAGGTCAAAACATTGCGTTGTCTGTGTGATGAAATTCCTCTCTCTGTTGTTGAAGATTTGGGTGCTCTTTACAGCTAGCCGAAAATATAGGATAACATCGTCAATCTTTAGATCTTGTTAAATAGCAACTAAGTACTCAACAAAATGCACAAATCATCTCAGGAATTATAAATATATTGATTTTGTTACTGTACAGGGTATTAGATTATAGTCAAAGCGTCATGATGTTTCATTTACTTCTGTTGGATCATTTAATGATAACTAGTGGACATGATGCTGATAGATTGCTATCTGAACATTTAAATTTTCAGCCAATAATTCCAACTTGGGGGTCAGTGTGACATCCCTGTTGACAGTGGTCGAGAAGTCCATCTGAACACAGAACGTGACGTCACAATTGACGTAGAGGCCGTCGTCCTCAGTGGGCAGATCCAACATGTCAAACCTGATAACCTGAATACTTATTTACCCAATTTTGGGGGTCCGTAGTCAAGTGCGCATAGCAGATCTTTAAATTCATGAACGTTGGCTCAGATAGTGGATCAGACACTTGGACGAAATATAGGCTGCCCAAATTGTGTCTCCACGAACGGGACTTGGTAGGTAGGATCATTGAAGAGACTGATGTGTACTCCAGATCCCTGGATCTGACCCGTTATTCGTTAGTATTGTTTATATTTTACTTTTGTTAGGTCCTGTCATTGATGGGAACAGAGGATATAATAGTTCATGTGTGTCGTTGGCATTGTCGCTTATCGCAGCGATAGGGTAATGCTAACCTTCATTTTCATGTCAGTATCATAAATCATTGAATGTTGAATTCAAAAACATTTATCTTGATTGTAGTAACATTTAATTGCTGTGGAATTAGTGCATTTATGTTACTGATATAATTCAATTGGGATGATTGTGGCGTGAATTTGCTCTATATTATCGTGAAATGATATTATATACATGATCACGTGATCAAAGTCTGATTTAACATGCAATTATATTTTTGTTTTGTTTCAAGGGTCTTCTATAAGTACAATTGTGCTGTTGGCTGCTTGAATAAAGTTCCATCCCGAACTCCGTCGTCCATCATATCGTGAGGGTGGAGACCACATTACTACTACTCTTTCAAAGCAAAGTTAACACAGTTCTCCTTTTGCTTCCAACTCTAAATGAAATACCTGACACCTTCCCAGGTTTGTTGTGACGTTTTGTTGAAACGTTGTGCGCAATGCACAAATCTTCTAATATCTGTTTCATAACACCAGAAGCCTCTTGCGACTGACCCTCAGTATACACAAATGGTCCCGTCTACTCTATCGTTTTTGGTCCGGCAATGTTTAATAGAAGGAACCACTATCACTTTTATCTATGTGCTGCTTCCATGTTCAAACGTTCACCAATTTCCCGGTACGTCTGTGTTTAACGACAGCTGTTCTGGCCTGTAATATGCTTCTGCCATGACTTACTTCGATGTGATAAGATACCGTTCTGACACAATTTAATGTTTCCTAATGATGAATGTTGTAGATGACCACGAGGATGAGCTTATTCATGAGTAAGTACCACACGTGCTTCACGGCCATTCTGATGTCTACCAAGGGCACAATAGAGTATAACGAACCAGATTCTTATCTCTGACATTGGGTACTGTTTGTTTATTGGAGACAGCGATCCAGAGTTTTAAAGTTACACTGGATTCTTATCTGGGTTTAGAGAAGTTAGGGAGAAATCGCATTATCGGTGGGTCGAGAAAGGAGCCAACTCTACTAGCCTTATCGAAAGTGCGAGGTGGGCCGAAGTCCGCAATTATACGTACTTGCAGAAAGTATGTACTAAGTAAAAAACTGTTGCTAACTGCTGTTTTGTCCTGACTATTAATTGGATTGGAATGTGCAAATGTGTAGAAACTACACCAGAACTCAGTTCATCGAACATCCCAAACTTACAAGGTCAAGGACTCATTGACATTCATGAGTTATTTTTATGAAACTTGTTCCTGGAAAAGTTTCAGGTCATCTGTCATAGGTGTGTCGCATGTTGGACAACATTTAATGATGATTTAGGCTAGCCTAAAATGTATGTGTAAATGGCGTACTTAGCGACAATACATAAGATGTTTTATAAATAATAATCAATGTTCATCATGTCTATATGACTTACTTCCTACTTTCCTACAGTACGTGAATTTTCTTGTTGAAAATACTACTTTCTTGAAGTGAACGTCTTTGCTGTTTTAATCCTCGTTCGTTGTTCTGGTTTTCGGGCTGTCTGTGGTGTCTTGGGAATGTTGAGGCGACCATCTGACGAAACAGTAATGCTTTGTTGACATCTGGGGCCACGCAGGGACTTCCGAAAATGTCTGTCTTTCTCCTGTTGGCTTTTTGATGTCCAGCAGGCATTAGACAATTTAAAGCCTGCCATCCACGGTGTCAGTTGGTAGTTGACTTGGCCGTAGGGGGCACGGCGCAAGTCAGCATACTGGATTTTTACACTTGTGTGAAGTTTGTCAATTAAATCCGGGAGTTTCAGTGTTTAGTATACTTAGCGTGTTACGACATTCCTTTCTTTGTGGTTGACGATTTGACCAATGGATGGAAACACATAGGCTTAATTTTATTGTGAATAAGGCTTACAACAAATTCGAATTTCGCATACCAATCATTGTATTTGTTTGTACATGAACACATTCATTGTACAATATCTGGTTATGCTCGTACCCAATTGGAGCTGAACAGTAGTTGTTTGTTTCGCCCTAAAACGAGAATTGTTTGTCTTGACGGTGGTTTGTTGTGTACACATTTAAAAAAATGATCAGTGTCGAGGCCATAAAGTTAATTTTGTCATAATAATCAATTTCAAATTATCAGTACATTTGTATAACCATTATGTGACAAAAGTAGTCTGAAAACGAAATATGCTATTCGTGAAAATGTTTTATTCATTATCTCAATGTTCTGGTCTTGATAGACCGAAACACTCCATATTCATGCAAATATATATCTAATAGAATACCAACATTTCCAGCCAAACACTTCAAAATGCAATTGTAATGTAATATTCATGCTCCATCCCATGTACAAATCAAACATCTGTCTGCAATAAACTGATTCTTTAGAGGACGAAAAGCTGCGGATTTCATTGTCGTGGGAAGCACAATGCCACATGCTTTAGTGTCGTATTACGATTGGTTCAAAGTAAAGAATAGACATGACAATGAGAATCGAGAAAAAGAATTAGCTATTTTTATGAAATCCATCACACCACTTACATCTAACCCACGCAATCAATGTACCACCACCAAACAATCAACTATGCTGCTGCGGCTGTATTGAATATACAGCGTCAAAACCAGAGAATAATCTCTACCGTCACCAGAACAATCAGCTAGATGCTGAAGCTGTAGTAAATATACAAAGTCAAAACCAGGGAATAATCTCTATCGTCACCAGAATAGTCAGCTAGATGCTGAAGCTGTAGTAAATATACAAAGTCAAAACCAGGGAATAATCTCTACCGTCACCAGAACAATCAGCTGGATGCTGCAGCTGTAGTGAATGAACAACTTCAAAACCAGAGAATAATCTCTACCGTCACCAGAACAATCAGCTGGATGCTGCAGCTGTAGTGAATGAACAACTTCAAAACCAGAGAATAATCTCTACCGTCACCAGAACAATCAGCTGGATGCTGCAGCTGTAGTGAATGAACAACTTCAAAACCAGAGAATAATCACTACCGTCACCAGAACAATCAGCTGGATGCTGCAGCTGTAGTGAATGAACAACTTCAAAACCAGGGAATAATCTCTACCGTCACCAGAACAATCAGCTGGATGCTGCAGCTGTAGTGAATGAACAACTTCAAAACCAGGGAATAATCTCTACCGTCACGAGAACAATCAGCTGGATGCTGCAGCTGTAGTGAATGAACAACTTCAAAACCAGAGAATAATCTCTACCGTCACCAGAACAATCAGCTGGATGCTGCAGCTGTAGTGAATGAACAACTTCAAAACCAGGGAATAATCTCTACCGTCACGAGAACAATCAGTTGGATGCTGCAGCTGTAGTGAATGAACAACTTCAAAACCAGGGAATAATCTCTACCGTCACGAGAACAATCAGCTGGATGCTGCAGCTGTAGTGAATGAACAACTTCAAAACCAGAGAATAATCTCTACCGTCACCAGAACAATCAGCTGGATGCCAGAGCTGCAGTGAATAACGTATCGTTATTGAAACATACCATCAAAATATACATATGAATTGTCAGATCATTATGCAAAAAAATAACAACTTTACTGTTCACGTCATTGATTGTATCATTACAGCAAGCCAATTATTTTGATGATATCGGCAATCTTCAAAACGTGTTAAATATCAAATAAGTATTCAAAACAATATCATACCATTGATTATTTTATAAAAGCCACCACATAACTTACATTGAACTCAAAGCGATTAATTATGCTGCAGTGAATATGTAAAACGCCAACGCCAGAGAATAATCGGTCCCGATTATCTGCGCAAACAGCAACGAAAAAGCAAAAGTGTGGTGAAATGCATGTGAAAAGATCCCTGAAAGTCAGTGATAACACCAGGTTTTCCAGAAAAGGGTCACTATTTGCTGCTCTACTGACACCCCCTACTCACACAAGAACTTTCCAAAATGTGCACAAACTAATGTTTTCAGATCATCATATGAAAATATTATCTGTATTAGAGCTCTCCAAATGTTTGGATGACTTAGCGGAGTCTAATCGACAGTTGCTTTACCATTACACTTTAACTATCAATTGAATAATTTATAAAATGATATTATATCTTTAAAAATAATAACTCTAGATTGTTTCCAGGCTATTAGATCACAACGAAAGTGTAATCATTATCATTTGCCTCTTCCAGGTCATGTACCGACAACGAGTATCCATGAATACTTATTAGGTTCCTATATGAATATATAAATGTTCAGCCAGTGGCCATGTACATCTGTGAGACGTCACTGGTCGTGGGACATGCTGATAATATCAATCGTAAACCTACGCCACGCTCCTGAAACAGTATGCATCGTGTGGGACGTCAACTTCTGATATCTAACTGTTGGATATATAAGGGTCACGCATGTCAACGTGTTAGAGGGATATCAGAACTAGTAGAAACATTATACTTGATTTTCCATTTTGTAAAATGAAAGACACAAACATATAACGTTTTATGCATGCCAGAGGCTGCATGGGCATGAGGTCAATGGTGGGATTACTCTCCTTATCTTTGTGAACTTATTACAGTTAGTCAAATATTTAGTTATTTCAAATCCTCTTAAATATCAGTTAAGTACTCAACAAAACAGTATCAGATCATGGAATTATTTGGCTACTATCCAGGGTGTTAGATTGTAATCAAAGCATTATGCTATATCATTTACTTCTGTTGGATCTTTTCATGATAACAAGTGGGCATTTACGCTTCAATATTGCTATCTGAATATTTAAATTTTCAGCCAATAATTCCAACTTGGGGGTCAGTGTGACATCCTTGTTGACAGTGTGGTGAGAAGTCCATCTGATCACAGAACGTGACGTCACATGTGACGTATAGGCCGTCGTCCTCAGTGGGCAGATCAAACATGTCAAACCTGAATCTTGTCACGTGGTCCCTGGACATCAATACTTGAGTTGAACTGTCAACTGGACAACTGAAATAAAGATGTATACATGACACCATTGACAGAGCCCTTACACAATTGATTTTAATTACAGTTATCAACGATAAAAGACAAATGTATTGTTCAATATATGTCTGACACAATTTTAAGTGTAAGATGACATTTCAGTGCTTATCTTTAATGCAGGAAGAGATCGAACAAGATATATACTCAACAACCAAAGTTCCTGTGACACCAATATTTTAGTGTATTTTTCAAACAAGTAAAGTTTGTTTTTTAATATTATAGTACATGTTTGGAATCAAGTCACAAAAACGCAACTGCTACAGAAAAGCATGCATTCCATGCAAAAGTTGACTTTTATGCAAGTCCTATGCATTTCACTACCCAAGAATGGGTATAAAAACATGTGCGTTAACGGGATTCCATATGCATCGTTAAGCATCGTGCTGACAACAACCACTCAGAAAAACAACAACATTACGCAAATATTCAACATCACGAAATGCCAAGTCTGTCCGAAAATGTGCGTTTGCGAGCCATTGGTATGCTTGAGTCAACGTGGTGTTGCAAGACAATTTAACGTCCACAGAAACACCGTTTGGTGTTTATGGCAACGTTGGCAACAGACGAATGCAGTCAGAGACCATCCTCGGAGTGGCAGGCCACGCGTAACCAATAATTGACAAGACAACTGGATTCGAACAACACACCTACGAAATCGATTCCAGCAAGCAACAGTGACTGCAAGAAGCATCCCTGGTCTTCGACGAATATCTTCACAAACCGTACGTCGTCGCCTCAGATGTGCAGGGATTGTCGCCAGAAGACCCGCCAGACGTCCCATTTTGACAGGAAACCCACCGTCAAGCACGTCTACAATGGTGCAGACAGCGATGGGGACAAGTTCTATTCACTGACGAGTCTCGTTTTCACCTCAGCCACAGCGATGGACGGATTCGAGTGTACCGACGTCGAGGTGAACGTTACGTCAATCATTGTGTCATGGAAGAAGATCGGTTCGGGGGCGGCAGCGTTATGGTATGGGGTGGGATTACAGCAAGACAGAGGACCCGTTTGATAGTGGTAGAGGGAAATCTCAATGGACAGCGCTACCGCGACGAGATCATCGGTCCTGTTGTTCTACCGTTTGTGCGTTGTCATGGCCCAGGCATTACCTTTCAACATCGCAACATCCGGCCTCATATTGCTCGACTTGTCCAGGATTCTCTTCAACAGAACTACGTGAATGTCATCCCCTGGCTGGCTCGCTCCCCTGAGCTCTCACCAATCGAGCACATGTGGGATGAGATGGATCGGCGCCTTCGACGTCAACCACGTGTTACACAGACACTCCAGGAACTTCGAAACATGCTCCAGCAGATATGGACAGATGGACACTTTGTGCGACGCCTGGTCCATTCCATGAGACGAAGATGTGTTACTTGCATCGCAACCAAAGGTGGACGCACACGCTATTGATTTGTAAATTGACATTTTGGCATGTTCATGTTTTTCTTTTTTATGAAATCACGCATTTTCTAAGCCAGTATGGCAAATTAAACCATTTGAACACTTACAGGAGTCTTTTATCTATTGCAAACCGAAATTGTTTCAGATTTGGTAAAAAACATAACTTTGCATTAAATCTAATTCAATGTCACAGGAACGTTTGTTGTTTAGTATGTATAAAAACTCTGAATGCTTCTTTACCCTTTGTCTAGAAGAAGGTGGGAAACGGAGTTTTGGAAGTCCGTAGTCAGGTGGGCATAGCAGTGCTTTAAAATCATTATCGTGTCCTCAGATAGTGGATCAGATACTTGGACGAATATAGGCTGCCCAACTTGTGCCTTCTGTTGAGTCTCTACGAACGGGACTTGGTAGGCAGGATCCTTGAAGAGACTGATGTGTACTCCAGGACCCTGAATCTCACCCGATACACCTGTGTGGCTTGTTGCATTGTGTTCGGGGTAGATGTGAACGGAGTCGGTTGCATGATCAGCTTTCGAACATTCTAGGTCACCACGCCATTTGATTGCTTTAGTTATGTTGTCGTTTGATGGCGCTGCATAGACGATGTAGTTTCTAAAGCTGATACTATCATTCTTAACCTAGAAAACAGGAAGAAATGTTTTAATGACATATGTTTTAGGTTTTGAGTTATCACTATACACTAAATTTCCTGGGCTGAGCGTTTAATTCGCCTTTCAACCTAGATATTATGAAAACATAATTATAATCTTCTTTAAAGTACTCACGTGAACCGAACGAACCTTCTTATGCTGAGAATGGGTGGTGGGGTAGTCTGGTAAAGCATTCTCACGCCATGCCGCTTATCTATCTGTGCTTGACTCCACATTGATACCATGAGTGAAGCCAATTCTTGGTATTCCAAATCTTACCATTGTTTGACAATAGCTAAAAATGTCACCTAGCGATCATCAAGGAAGCAGGAAATACGAACAATGGGAACATTCCTTCGACATTTTAAATACATGCTTAGAAATGGGTGTTGACCTTTTGCAATGATCACAAATATGAAGTGAATTGACATACCTTTCTTTCGGTGTGACAGCTGTCATAAGATACATTGAATACAAGGATGTTTCCTCGGAGCGTGCCCGTACACCTGTCTGTGGCCATGTAGATGTGTGAGATGTCACTGGGGGTGGCTGACAGTTCATTCAGGTCAACTGATGCAAACCAGCCCTCTGTCAGACACTGGAGGTGCAGTACTTTGCTCTCTGTTTATGACAATAGGTTACCTTGACGAAATAAAAACATGTAGCCTGCCCCAAGCATGTAATTATGAGGGTATTTGTTTGTCCCTCAACATTATGACAGCCCGTAATACATGCATCTATACACTGTTGATGGATATGGTCCATGTAGGTAAGTATGTGCCAGGAGGGTCACTCTGGATGAAGTAACACTAAAACCTCGACAGTTCCGACACTGAGTACCTTTAAGACTAACCCTCCAAGGAACACCTAGCTCTACACAAATGGCATTAACCAATAACAACGGTTCGTTATCCTGATGGTATTATTGCAACAGGTCCTTCAGGAATTAGCATGTTTTCACTGTGATATGTTTCATATTGGTTTTCTGAAGTTCTAACATTAACATTAAACCAAACAACAAAATTTCCAAATAAAATTTTGCCAGGCAATGTTGGTGTTCTTCAGTTATTTTCATAAGTTGTGGTTAAATGTCTGATTAATTTCCTTCTCAATCGAGGGAGGTTTGAAATGAACATTCTTTGTTAGTCCCCATACACATTAACACAGCATGACAAGACTAACCATAAGTCATCTAATAGACTCAATAAGAGGACCGTCGTCTATTGAAGGGCTGGTGTCTATTGGTGCAAATATAATGTATGTCTTTTACGGAATAAACCAAAGCATTCACAGTAAAATGCCACCAAACAATACATATTGTGTTTTCATATACAAAAATGAAATATCTTGTCACACATAATTCGTACTGACCGTGTGAAAGAAGCTTGTATCCACCGGTGAAACCATATGCAGCATATCCAGGGTTTCCATGTACTCTGAGGTAAAAAGGATGTTTACTCTTTATGTGATAGGGTGTTGAGGACTTTAGAGCCAGAATTCCAACTGAATATTGCAGTGATGTGATGTTATTCCAAGTTATATCCGATGATGTGTTGCCATTAACATATATACTACCAATGAAGCGTGTTTCACAAACAAGGTTGCAAAACGAGTAAAGTGAGTGTTGTCCTGATATGTCCATAGTTTGAAAGGTATACTCTGTCAGGTACAAATCAGGTCCTGGTGAGAACAAAGTCATCCCGCCTTTGAGCTGAAAGTAACTGTTCTGAACAACCATTACGGGTTTATTACTTTTAATAAACAAATCTGTGTCCATTAGTGTGATGTTGAAATCCTTAAACTCTCTCCGTGTAAGTGATGCGTTATATACACTGACAATAGATTGACGGATAGACGTAATGGTGACTGAGGTGTCATTCTGGCTGGCAAGTAGACGCACGACCGTCTGTGAAGTTGGTGCAGGGACCCTGGGGACTATTGCTGTGGTGCTGAAGGCGCTGAGAGGAGGAACCTGGAGAACCAGGTGTGATCCGACCATGCCGTAGGGACTGTAGTAAACAGAACCCGAAAACACAGATACGGGAAAAGAAGTTTTGATATAAGTGCCACCAAAATCACAATCATATATCGAATGCATTGCTGAATCATGTATTATCTGCAAGACATCGTTCCTCTTCAGACTAACCTCAAGTATACCTCCTGTTTTGTACAAAGTGTTGTTGAACTTAACTGAACATGATGAGATTAAGTGGATCGTTACCGAGGTGTTGTCCCTTGTTGATACCACTCCAAAAAAAGGGTTGTTGTTGACACCTGGAATTATGTATTCTGTCGTAAGGGCTGCAACAGGGAGGGCTGTAAAGGAATCACTGGTGTGTGCATAGTCATTGGTATTTTTGTTATACCCGTAAACTGCCACAGGATTGGTGCAGTTAATGTGAATTCCTTTATTTTCTATTCCACTCTGTGCATTGAGCTGTGTGCTACCTGGGAGTGTTTCCTTTGTAACCGAATAGGCTGGAATGGTAACCTCGATTCGTCTTCTTCTCATGTCGTCATAATTATAATCAATTGTACATTTGGATTCTGATGTTGAGGAGATGTAGATATCGTTCAGTGGATCCGGCTCTGGTGTGTTGTAAAAATTTGCAAAGAAAGCAAATGCAAACTCTTCTCCATTTGTACTTACTACGACTGGAAGAAAGAGACAAACATATATAGAAAAGCGAATTTTATCTTCAGCATATCATAGTTACAAATTGGCATCTTCCTTTGCATCCTAATGACACTATTATCAGAGAACTAACAATGTCATGCAATAGAGTGAGTGAGTTCCCTTTTTTGATGGTAGCCTGGAGACACACAAATGTGATACTAAAAATGTTCTATATATATTGTACCAAAGTGGGGGCTTTTGTCAGTTCGCTATTGCATGTAAAGATATGTACGTGCAATGAAATAAAAAATGAAGGAACATCCATATTTGCATATAGCACACTGTTTAATTGGGAGAAATGAACTTTGCATGACGAACGTACGGCCTCAGTAGGGGTCCGAGACTTCTTATGATTATGGAAAATGGAAGCAAAGTTGTGAAACGTGATACACAGCTATTTCGAGAGAGAATTATTGTACATACTGCCTTGCACTAGGTTTCCAAGAGACACCAACAACAGAACGTATGCTGCAAGAGGTGACGCCATTGTCCTTTTTGACTGTCAGGTGTTGGGAGAGAACATGCGGTTATAAAAGATAATGGAAAGGTGAACCTGACATTGTTTATTGACTTTGCAAGAACACGAGATAAGCAACGCGCGGAGCGTCTACGGGCTATTGTCATGCTGGAAATTGCGTGCAGTGGCCAACATGTTGTTCCATGTTTCACAGTCTGTGATTAGTAAATTATGGAACAGCTACTAACAAATGATCTAGGGTGTCTCAGGTCGACGACAAGAATACAGGATCGATTGATCCGAAACCAGGCTCTACGACATCGAGCTGAAGTGGCGAATCAAATTGCTCCAAACTTTCATGATCATCTATGCAAATGCTCGACGGCCACATGGTGTGCCGCCCCTTACAAATACAAATAACCAACAGACACCAATGGGGTACAAAATGTGGAAACGGGATAATCGCCGCTGGTCATGTATTCAGTTGAGTCCCGATTCACTTTGCCCTTCCTTGACAGGCGTGGTCGTGTCTGGTGACGTCGAAATGAACGTCAAGGCAATGAGACTTCATGACAGATTTGGCGTTGGATCAGTTACGTCACTGGGCAGTACTATCGCGACAACATACTGACACCCGGTTTGCAAGGCGTGTTGGTCGACGTTTTGTCTCTCAGGATGACAACGCCCGTGCTCACCGTGCACGAATCGTCAGTGTTCACCGCCATTAGACTGCCAGGGCCAGCAATGAGCCCAGACCTTCCCCCCATTGAACACGTGTGGGACATGATAGGAAAACGTGTGCGTCAACATCATAGGCCGCCGACCACGTTGTCTGAACTTAGCCAGGCGCTGCTAGAGCAGTGGGGCAGCCTCCCTCAAATCGCCATCGTCGAGTGAATGAATGTTTGACAAATCGTGGCGGTATTACACACTGCTGATTCAAAAACGTAAACTTTTAGATTTCCCATCTTACCCCTATTTGTCCTTTAAGTCGTTGGCTGTCATAACATCTACTGTCATACTTCACTACCGGTTGTAATGTGTTGCCAATTGATTCATTATTATCATACAACTAATACTAAAAAATATCATCTCTTTCAATTGTGGAAAATTTAAGTTATTTCAGAGTATTCTTTCTAAAGAGTATACTATGCAACGTTGTTTTTTAAAGTTTGGAATTCTATGTTTTAATATCGTTTCTCTTGCTGATCAGTTAATTTATTTTCATCGCAACCTGTTGCTTATATTGCACTCAACGATGTCATTTCCTGGAAACTACATTACATCCCATTGTACGGGTGACAGGATTTTAGTCATTTTGAAGTGCTTATTGAAGTGCCAATTGGTTTGAAATAACGCTCCAATAGTAATACATACACAGAATAACGTCATATATCCACACCCGAACTTCGACCTGGCCGAACTTAACTTACAAAGCTACATTTCTATCTGTCAGAGGTTCAGGACAATTTGTCAAAAATGAACACAAATGTCATCTGAGGTTAACAGAGAAAACAATATATGAAATATGGATTCCTCATTCATAACATCTATGTAAACCTTGGGGTTAAGACATTGAGGCAAGAAGTAGGCATACCCATGGGCACCAAGTGTGCTTCCTTTCTTTCTGATCAGCTTCTTTTTTGCAAATGATTAGGAAGTTATGCTCGGATTAGCAAAAATCAAAACAAGTAATTTGGCCAAGAAGTTTAATTTAAGCTTCAGGTATAACGAAGATCTGATATTGTTCAATAACACTTAAATAGCCAGTTCCCTTCCACGATGTTACCCACCTGAACTAGAAATAAAGGAGACCATACAGATTCATAGTGCCAGTATGGCAAGAGGGTGGCTTCACGTTTCCAAAAGACAACTTTCCCTTTACGTCAAGCCCTCTATTCCAGCAGCTCCAGCCTTTGGTGTCAACATTTCCCATCTTTTGCTGCACAATTGAGCATGCTCGTTCCAGAAGATTTCAAAGAGCGTCATGCGACTCCTGCCCAAACGTTGTTTGATCAGAGTTACAACAAATAAAGCCTCAGCTAAGCTTTCAAAAACCTTTATGGTTGTCCTGTGACGAACCTTTCAAAATTAGAGGCACCAGTGACAAAAATGATAATTTCTATATATAATTATGGAAAGAATTTGGTCCCTTTTGTTCACTATTATTTCTTTGACACAAACATTGTATCCATAAAGGAAACAATACATTGATATGTTTTGCCAAAGGGACATGTTATGATTTATACCTGTGTTTGTATACTATGACTTTCTACATGCAATTTTGCCACAGCACAAAATGTAAGGTGTCTGTCATAAGCTGTGAAAGCGCATATGCATTGATAATGATTAAAATCCACTTATTCCACGACGACCGTGCCTCCGTGGTCTATTTCTATTCTTTAAAACAATTGTTTATATAACATGTCACATTTGGTCTACTTGTTCTTAAAATTTTTAGTTTTATCTAAACTCTGACATTTGTTAGAACGTTCACCGCAATAACAAGAGTGAGGCAGTGCAGACGTGTCATTACAAGCGGAATGCAATTTGACCTAGTTCCGGTCTGAATAGAATACGGCGCTCTTGTAATGTAGACAGACCGTGTTTCTCAAATGCAGTATGTAAGGGAGGTAATCGCATAATAGTCAACACATGGTGAGGTGAGGCGAAATATGGTTTAACGTCGCGTCCCAGATACTGGTCCGGACTGATGCCGATTTATAGTACCAGCACCCTTAGTAGACTAGACTCAGTATACTAACTCCGAGCCTACCAGTCCTTGTTTTAGCTCCTTAATGCTAGGGTAACAACAAGACAGACAGGGTAACAACAAGTACCATCTTTTAACGTCTTTTGGTATGACGCAGCCGGGGATCGAACTCCGGACCTTCCGCTCTCCAGGCGGATGCTCTACCACGAGACCACGGAAGCGGTGTAACATGTGAAACAGGGAATATTGTTGCCAGGAACTTGACTTTGCTGATAAACCATATTGGGACAATTAGGTTATTGTAAATATAGTTGACGAAAAACACCTGCTTTGCCGCCGTGTTGATGTCTATCATCAACATGTTCTTGTAAACATTGCGGTCTCACCTGGGCAAAGCCCACGTGGGCGTACATATATGTCCTTGCTTGTTTGTATGTTGTTAATCTCTTCACCATGGCACCTGATACGGCTTGACTCATGGAGCTCTGAGTTTTTGCGTTTCAAGTGATGATTACACAAATGTAACAAATGTTTTCTCTCTCCTTTTGTCCCTCGTATATGGATGTTGGAAAAAAATGATATCCGATTTACATTCATGTTGATACAAGACACATTGGGCTTTTTGTTGGTTTCTGAGGAAATTCTTATGATTTGTCAATTACACAATTTACTTTCAAAATTCATATTCGAGAGAGTTAAACATTGATCCAAAGAAATTAAGTGAAGATTTGGTCAGATAAATATACTGCCAGTCGGAAATGACGTTTGATATGACTGCAGACAGACGTTTAAACATGTACAGTCACAACATTTACCACCATACCAGTTTAGCAATGGGCGATTATGTCAACAAAAGTGAAAGTAGAAATGTACTTAGAATTTAGCTTACTCTTATATACTGTATAAAATATGTAGATTTCTGTTTTCAATTTCACAACTAATAGTGAATAAAACTACATCGCCAGCTTGAGCAGATGGCGGTGCAGCTCATATTTAGTTGGCTTAAGACAAGAATGTATGTACCACCAATTTCGCAGTCATCGAGTTGTATTGTCTGCAGTGCATCATTTCTATTGTAATTAAAAGGCACCAACATTTCCATTGCCATAAATGATTCAGTTGTAGAGGTGGTCGCGGTGATTCTTTCACGTAAGTGACGTAGCCGTATAAATCTGTCCTGTGCTCTAGTGGTGTTTTCTGGTCACCCAGAAACTGGGAAGGCCACGTTTTGTCCCGTGTGTCTGATGACGGTTCCACAATCGTGTAATGTTGCTTGGTGCTACGTGAAAAAACCTGGCTACAGCTAATGATGTTTCATGCATGAAACATATAATAATCAAGCATGCATGATTCGTGATAATAAATATTAATCCATGCATGCTTCCTGTACTCGGGATTTGAGCTGGCTAAGCTAGCGACATTCTTTAGTTTTATTGCAGTTTTAATAGTCGTGTCAGGATCAGCTGATTGCGGGTTTGAATCCTAGTGCCGATGGCCCTTGGTTAAAATAGCACCATCATCGAAGTGATATGGCATGATAAAGGCTATTCAAAACTTCGTAAACCCTAACTCACTCACTAGACCTGTTCATCGACACATATATTCCACTGCGGTAGTGATGTTTAGGCGTTTCTCTTGACCTCAAACATCATCACAGGAATTAAACGTGTTCCAGCTTTACTTATGAATTTAGTGACGAAATACATTTATATTGAAAATATTAAGTTTATGTTTCATTAAAGTGAAACAGCAATTCATGTCGGAACCGATTCAATCAACCTCAATGACATAATGGTTTTCAGAGTAAGGTCGTGAAGATCAGTTAGAAAGTACATAAGAAATAGAACATGTGTTGTTTCTCTCCGCATGGCCTGATATTGTTAACATTTGCACTCGTGGGTGCGCTGGTCTGACAGAGTAGTTGGACATTGTGACAATTACTCGATTATTTACAGGCCACCATTTAGTGCAATGTTGTATAACAAACAAACACACAAACAAAAACAAATCCAATACGGTAGATAAAATAAACTTCACTTCAATGTTTAGGGCTGGCCAAGCAGTTCAGATATAATACCAAGACTCGATAAGTTCTACACACGCAATTATATGAAAAGGGTAGAGACTTCTACTCAGAGTATCAGTAATTATTGCCCGCAAAAGCTCACGATAAGGAAACGAGCTGAGAATTATTCGCTGCAGTACTCCGCACATTGATCTTTGGGTTCAAATGTGATAGTCTTTTTTTTTATCCGCGCCAACTCATTCAGAATTGTATTCTAATATAAATGTTTGATGTGTATGTAACTGATTCAGTCAAGAAAAGGGGCACGTGGCCTGTCTTAGGAGTGATCATGGGTTTGCATCCTAGATTCAAGGTTTGTGAGCACCATAGCCATGATCGTGGGTAAACGCCTAAGGCCTGCATCACTTCCGGCGTTCCTCTCGCATCATGCTGACACCACGTGATATGACTGAAATTTTGTTTAAAGCTATTCTTGAAGACCCGTGTAGAATTGGTCTTCAGCAACCCATGCTTATCGTAAGAGGCGGGATAGGGTGGTCAGGTTCGCTGACTTGGTTGATGCATGTCATCGTATTTCAATTGCGTAGATCGATGCTCATGATGTCAATCACTAGATTGTCTGGTTCAGACCAGATTATTTAAAGACATCCGTCATACAGATGGAATATTGATGAGTGCGGTGTTAACAACAAAAATCTGTTTGAAGTGGTTTATACCAAACCATTTTCACACATCAGTTCATAAGAGCAATGCGTCCTAATTTCAATGACGGTACATGAAGTGAAAGCATGTAATAGCTATTCAAGCCTTGTACGTAGTTACGGTGTTATTTAAAACAGTGCCATGGAATCAGCAACCTCTTCATCCACGCAATGTCATGACCTCCTCCTGAAGACGAAGCGGATAGGATGTTTGGTCCCCACAAATATTCTGTATCTGAGTTCTACCTCTTCATGTCCTTGCTCTAGATCCACCTGAAAATGCTGCATTATCTGAAAAGGACAAATGCATATCGATGTAGGTCAAGACAGACGGATGCTTGTACATCAATTGAGCATGAGTGAGTGAGTTTGGTTTAAATCCGATTTGAACATTATTCCAGTTATGTCACGGCGTGTTAGCATAATGTGGGAGGAAAGCCCGAAGTTATGCAGTCTAATAAGACATTTACCATTTCGGTGAAACCAACGAGCACGAGTATGGTGCTGAAAAGCCTGAAAACATAATCGGTGGGAACCGGGATTCGAATCCATGGTCATAGGTTTCAGGCGCACCCAAAGTACTTGGAGCGAATTGAGGCGCCTTAAACCACTGGGCCACTCGTGCCCAGACAGGTTTAACTTAAGCATGCTTCTAAAACAGCAAGAGTAATGCTATGGTGTTCCAGGTACATGACTAAATGTGTAATAGATTCATTAATTGATACGTCCATGGTGATAAGTACCATGATCTCTTTGTGGGTTCACGCATGACCTCTCACACCAACAGAAATATGCAATTTGAGGCTTTCAAGCTAACTTACAATAGATAAAAGCGACAAAGCACTTTCCAAAACTGGATAATAAAGAACCCAGGATTCATTAGGCGAATTTATCACACATATGATAGGGATTCCCTCCGTTGTCTTTGTGTATTGCCTGTATAAATAAGTAAATGAATACTGTATACTCCTGTAAGTTATATTCCGTAGATATCATGGCGATTTAATATCTTCGAGTCTGACATAGCAAACTAGTGGTTGACTGCATCAGCAAAGATGATCCAAGCCGTTTGGGTTCGATGGCACGGAATGGTAGCCAACCGATCCTCATTAGATGGGTGTTACGACAAGCATTGGGTACTGGAGTATATCTGCCCGATCCTCATTAGATGGGTGTTACGACAAACATTGGGTACTGGAGTATATCTGCCATATCGCCATTAGATGGGTCTTACGACAAGTATTGGGTACTGGAGTATATCTGCCATATCGTCATTAGATGGGTGTTACGACAAGCATTGGGTACTGGAGTATATCTGCCATATCGTCATTAGATGGGTGTTACGACAAGCATTGGGTACTGGAGTATATCTGCCCGATCCTCATTAGATGGGTGTTACGACAAACATTGGGTACTGAAGTATATCTGCCATATCGTCATTTGATGGGTCTTACGACAAGCATTGGGTACTGGAATATATCTGCCATATCGTCATTAGATGGGTCTTACGACAAACATTGGGTACTAGAGTATATCTGCCCGATTCTCATTAGATGGGTCTTACGACAAACATTTGGTACTGGAGTATATCTGCCATATCGTCATTAGATGGGTCTTATGACAAGCATTGGGTACTGGAGTATATCTGCCCGATCCTCATTAGATGGGTCTTACGACAAACATTGGGTACTGAAGTATATCTGCCATATCGTCATTAGATGGGTCTTATGACAAGCATTGGGTACTGGAGTATATCTGCCATATCGTCATTAGATGGGTCTTACGAAAAGCATTGGGTTCTGGAGAATATCTGCCCTATCCTCATAAGATGGGTCTTACAACAAACATTGAATACTGGAGTATATCTGCCCGATCCTCATCAGATGGGTCTTACGAAAAGCATTAGGGACTGGAGTATATCTGCCATATCGTCATCAGATGGGTCTTCCAACAAACATTAGGTACTGGAGTATATCTGCCCGATCCTCATCAGATGGGTCTTAAGAAAAGCATTGGGTACTGGAGTATATCTGCCCGATCCTCATTAGATGGGTCTTACGAAATCATTGGGTACTGGAGTATATCTGCCCGATCCTCATTAGATGGGTCTTACGACAAGCATTTGGTACTGGAGTATATCTGCCCGATCCTCATTAGATTGGTCTTACGACAAACATTGGGTACTGGAGTATATCTGCCCGATCCTCATTAGATGGGTCTTACGACAAGCATTGGGTACTGGAGTATATCTGCCATATCGTCATTAGATGGATCTTACGACAAACATTGGGTACTGGAGTATATCTGCCATATCGTCATTAGATGGGTCTTACGACAAGCATTGGGTACTGGAGTGTATCTAACATATCGTCATCAGATGGGTCTTACGACAAACATTGAATACTGGAGTATATTTGCCTGAGATTCCCCACGAGTAACATAAATCACGGCTAGAAGAGTGGCATTTGTAGGCATTTTAACTGTGACACTAGTAATGAGCTAATTTGAAGCGTCGTTGCGATACTAAGACAGAAACCTACCGTAATGAATATCCTTCCTATCAATGCATTTCCCCAGGCTTTATGTCTTAATGGCTTTATGGTAAGGACCTAGCAAAGTTTTTTACACAACTTTGAACATTATTTCATTTAAATCACGGCGTGGCGATTTAATTAATCCCCGAAATAACGCAGGTCTTAATATGTTTAGGTACAAGCTCGGATATCATTCTGGCAGACCAAAGGTCATAATAAAGACAAAACTGGGAGTTGATCAACAGACCTTGACCAATTTAGGGTGGCAACACTGTACAGCGAGTGAGTGAGTGAGTGAGTGATCATGAGTGAGTGAGTGAGTAAATGTTCCTTAACGCCGCCTCATCAGTCTTGCAGCTATTCGTGGCGATTGTGCAACCAGCTGCGGCGCATAGCGAGTTGGCCACACAAGACCCTGTGTTAGAGAATAGGTTACTCTGATTATATTCTGATACGAAGTCATATGTATGGTCTGAATTGAAACCCGAAAGCCTCATCGATATATCGAGATCGAGATCGAACTTAAATACATCGCTAGTAGAACCGATATGAGATATATGCGCATTAAAGGTGTTTTCTATGTGGAATACCTTTGTTATTGCGAGATATATTTCTTGTTCCGCAAACCTCCTCCCTACACATTGACGAGGGCCGAACCCGAACGGAAGTACAGCGGATGACGGGATGGGAACCGTCCTTCTTCCTGTCTCGTCTCTCAGCCATCTCTCAGGGAGGAACCTGTCCGGATCAGGAAAGTATTCCTCGTCCTTTGCCGCTTTCTGGTTCATCATGGCTACAGAGGTCTGAAAAATGCATGAGGTGTGTCTCTGATCGTGGGTTTGAAGCCAAGTTTCCCCCTGATTATGTATCTGGGTTCGTCAGCACCAAAAGTGGGCTCACCAAAGTGATGAACATCTAAATCAAAACGTCAACATCAGGAGAAACATTAGGAGAAACATTAGGAGAAACATTAGTAGAAACATTAGTAGAAACATTAGGAGAAACATCAGGAGAAACATTAGGAGAAACAGGAGAAACATTAGGAGAAACATTAGGAGAAACATCAGGAGAAACATTTGGAGAAACATTAGGTGAAACATTAGGAGAAACATTAAGAGAAACATCAGTCTCGATTTGCTGCCGAAACAGATTCCAGATTCCTTCCGTAAAAGGCAAACTAGTGGTGAAACTTATATGAATGGATCACTTAAAATGAGTGATGTTCGCGAAAAGGGTAAGCAGCGCCTGATTTAGACCAGCACCACTCCGGTATTTTCACCCACATCAAGCTTACACGCCGTGATATACCTGAAATATTGTTTAAAGCGGCCTTTGGCGAGCATAATACATATTTGGGTTTCTTAATACATGTATACGACATTTTCGCTTCGGAAATACAGAAGGATAATGCCATTTTTATCATTTAGTGTGAATTTTAACATAACATGTTTAAGACGCAATTTCACTGAAGGACACTTAAGATAACCGCGTTAAACGCCCCTCATCATTGTTATAGAGCTGATTTGCAGCCATGTCAGTCTACATAATCGTACACACATCGATGTATGGAGAGTTGGAGTAGTTCCTGCTTGGTGAGCTAATTTGCATATTTATTGTATCATAATACAAGTTCTTGGGTTTATAACATAATCCATTACATCATTATTATATATAACCCTCCAGCTGTATCTGATACCTATATCCATAATTACTTCAGTATCAGCGTCTTCTTATTGTTAAGAGTATCCATGTAATTCATTGTGAAACTTAATTATTTTTAGACGTCACTTCATTGTGTGTGAGTGAGTTAGTGAGTGCGTCATCGGGAGACTTCATTACGGTAATCATATGACGGTGTGCCAGCTTGATACAAGATGAAAGCTCGAGGTGATGTAGGTCTTAGACATTTACCACTTTCGGTTCACATCACTTATGACAATTTTTAGTAAAAGGCATCATAACGAATGAAACTATCATATAAACGATAATGCAAAACGTCGGAAAGGGTAACAAAGCGAAACTTTTCACCAGTTCTTTGGATTGTGAAATGAAACTTATTTTATGGTAACTACACTTAAAGTAAACTATCTCCAAACGCCAGTAGTTTAACTTACACCTGCAGGGATCCTGTAGCCTCGAAGCACAATGTCGGTGGGTATGTATCTCTGTGGACCGGACAGTATAGGATAGGCTAGTCTGAAAATGAATAATATTCAGTCTTAAGACGCAATGTTCAGAAGCATTATATGTGTAATTGAAAATATATTTAATCCATTAGCAGCTCATGTACATCATCTCATTGGCTGTCTTGTCGTAAGGATGAGGAAGATGAGTGATGAGTGTACAGCTGTGGGTGGGGACCGGGGTGGGGACCTGAGGGGGGTGGGGGGGGGGGGGGGGATCCGGTGGATGTCCAAAGGCAACCCCTCAAGCACTGTTATCCCTTTGTCACTCCGACATGAGGCTTATTGAATTCGTTTAAGCCACTTTCTTGACATTCTTTGTATGTAAGACCCTGTTGCGATTATAGGTTAGAATAGGTCCCCAGGAACCTATACCAGTTCAAAGAGGGAAAGAAATGGGCGGTCTATGTGACCTGGTTGTGTTATCATACCCCTCTAGCGTGGGATGTTGTACGTAATATTAATCACCGGTTAGTCTGATCCAGATTATTATTATCATGCTGTCGTAATATGGCTGGAATATTGCTCATTCCTGCGTATGCAACAATTAAACAACCCAACGTTATGTAAGCGGAATGTAGTCGGAATGCCAACAGATCGTAGACCTTACCACTGATAAACCAACGATAATTAATCAGAACAAATATGAGATTAGGCGACACGGATGTTTGGTCCTTGCATTCAACATTGGCGACCTACGTGTACCTGAACGACTCCTTCATACAAGCGAATATGTACTTCATCTTCCCGAGGGCCTCCGTCGTGAGCGGAGCCCGTGGACCAACAGCCTCAACGACTTCTGCAAACAACTTGTTCTGCTTGTCTGGATTACGTGCAAGATAATACAGAACCATTTGGAGGTTCCGCGCTGTCTGAAAACACAACAGTCATGTAGGTATTAATGAATATGATGATGAGATAATATATCTATCTTAAAACAGTACATGGATATCTCGTTTCGCTGCTGATGGAACTATGGAAGCTTATAGGTGTTCATGACACTGATATTACATCATGATGATGTGGTTATCTGAAAGTCATTCTATGATGAGAAGAATGTCCTGATAAGATGGACATTATTTGTAAAAACCATCAGTAAATATTTGATAACCGGAGACCTTTTGCGGAAACCCGAAAAAAGAAGCGATAATATAGATAATGATCGAAAATAACGAAATTACTGAACCATGCTGAAATTGTTTACATGATAGAACCTCGAGAGTATAAACTACACTACTCAACGAAGCCAACACGTCAATAAAGCACACACTTGTCATTTGTTTGTTTACTGTTTAACGCCGCACTCAGAAAAAGTCCAGCTACAACGGCGGTCTACAAATAATCGAGTCAGGACTTGACAATCCAGTGAATGACACCATGATTATCTATCTATTGGGGCATTCATCAACCAAGTCAGCGAGCCTCACCACCTGTCTGCCGTTGTACAAAACAACCTTAGCCCTAAGACTGTCGTAAGTCTGTGTTAATGCGTGGGAGTTACGATCACCTCAGCGCTAATATCGCTTTGTACAACGACGCCCTGGTTCCGTTTATCGCCTATCACGACATTAGTGGGTTGCGAAAGGCCAATTCTAACCCGGATCTTCACGGGTCGTGAACCAAGTCAGCGAGCCTGACCTCCTGATCCCGTCAGTCGCCTCTTACGACAAACATGGGTTGCTGAAGGCCAATTCTAACCCTGATATTCACGAGTGTACCCGGTTATTAGCAAAGGGGTATACTATGTCTGAACTTAGAAGGGCGAAGCGAGTAAGTCAAATCAAACAGTGTGAATGATTAAGCCATGTTACCGATTCTGTCCCCGAGCTAAATAGTTCGAATGCCACCGATCCCATTTCTTCAACCGAGAGTTTGTCTAACATCAACAGCGACAACATGAAGTTGTTCTCGTCCACGACGCCGTCCTGCTGTCTCTGCTGGATGTTCGTCAGAGTGTTGGAGTAATAGTCTGTAGCATGACTACAATCACATATAAGACAACATATGAAAAAGAAACGGGAATACTATTTGTTTGAATAAATAATCTATATACTAAAAATTATCAATTTGGGGTCGCCATTATGAAAATGTACATCTGTTATAATTCCAAATTCGATCCTATTACGATCCATTGAAATTTCCCACACATTTAGTGATACCCTTCATATCACAGAAATACTGTTCACGGCAGCATATAATTCGCGGATATTAGTTTTACTGAATTCAGGGACGATTCCCTACATTGTTTGAATCCATGCTTCCTGGAAATTAACCATATCCACATTGTCCGTGTAATGCTGAATGCATGAACAATCATACACAAGATTTCAGCATGTGTATAGGGCAGAAACTGCTTTTTGTTGTCTCGAAACCTAGATTTTATGCGATCAGGCAAGGCATCACCGTACTAGTTGTAGGCAGTACACCCAGTCCAACAAAAAAAAACACCTCTACACACACACCCTATTCTGACTGTGGAGCCCATTTCTGGTGTTTCCCGCTTTGATATTACTGGAATATTCCTGAAAGCGGCGTAAAACCATACTCACTCACTCATTCATCTGACACGCTTTGATTTTCGAGTGCATATGAATTGTGTCTGTTCTATAAACATTCAGTTACAATCAAACAGATATAACACAGTTATGTAATCAAATGAGTCACTTTGGACGTATACCCCTCGCATTTGTGCCCCTAATATTTGCCGTTTATTGAAATAGGAGTTATTTATTACCTGATGATGCGATTCACTGCAGCGTCGTATTCTCTTTTCGCCCTCCATGGTAATTTCTTCAGTAAAATATGGGGAATAGTAAGTGTTTCATTCATCAGTTTAAACATCGTCTGTATGTCTTTCAGATCTTGCATTTTCTCAGGATCACTGTCTGTGTGTGGACTCAGGTACCCAAGACGTTTGTTGTAGGCAACCACGCTGATGCCTGTTGTAACAAACCATACAGGATATGCATGTGAACGCATGTGTTTGATTTAACGACACAGTCGGCCATATTCCAACTGTATGATAGCAGCTTGTGGAGAGTCCAAACAATCCAGTGATTGATATTATGAGCATCAATCCACCCCGTAGGGGTACTTCCACACGCTACCCAACCAAGCAGCTGAGTGTGACACCCGATCCAGTCGCCTCTTACGACCAGACCATCTAACTCAGAAGGTCCCCAGTATCCCATGCTAGTCATCCATTCGGACTACAGAGGATCTGGTGGTCAGGCTTATCGCGACGATCTTTTTTATTGCTGCTCATGCCATCAACCATTGGTTTGGCTAGCCCAGCATAGATTATTAACAAGCCGTGATATTCCTTGGCTATTGCTGAACGTGGCGTTTTATATATATATATATATATATATATATATATATATATATATATATATACGCTCACTCTGCAGTTGACATTGAAAAAGAATAAAAGCTCATCACCATGCGGTGTGTATCATATGAGATGGCTTACGACTCGCTGGTCTGGACAATATCAGGATTCGAGAACGAAGATATGTTATAGTTTATATCTAGCCTTCCTCTTCGCCAAATTAAAGTAATTGGTGACATATTGGCTTATGATTTAATACATTATGTGTGTGACCCGTGAAGATTCCGGGGTAGAATAGGTCTTCAGCAACCCATGCTTGCAGTAAAAGGGGACTATGCTTGTCGTAAAAGGCGACTAACGGGATCGGGTTGTCAGGCTCGCTGACTTGGTTGATGCATGTCATCAATCCCAATTGCGTGGATCGATGCTCATGATGTCAATCACTGGATTGTCTGGTCCAGACTCGATTATTTACAGACCGCCGTCATATAGCTGGAGTATTGCTGAGTGCGGCGTAAAACAACAAACCAACCAACCAAACATTATGTGTGTCGTTTTTTGCCAATCCAATAATAGCGAAACGTCACTGTCCATATCAGGAACGTGACCTGTCAAGCCATACCACACAGCAGGCCTGATACCACGTATCAGTCGGCTGAGTTTTGTACGTAACGTCATGGAATGTTTATGACGTCACAAAATTCGATGACGTCATGAATAGAGGCCTCGGTCAGATATGGGTCTCAGGGTGATACGGGTCATTATATGTAAAGGGTGATCATCTCTACTTATCTTCTATATAGAATATTAACATGATAATTATGTAGGATGCTTACTTTCGCAGGCATATCTGAAGAACATTTCCAATGCGCCATCCTTTTGGATTTTACCCAGTTTTATCTGAGCTACAAGATCATCTGCGACTTCGTTCTGTACCGGAAGATAGTGATGCGCAGAATCGACTTTCATCATCCGGGCATTTAGAGGACTTCGATATCTGTGCCATTCTTCTCCCTCTCTTAGGAATAAGAAGGTAGAGTTTGAAGAATATAAAATGGCTTTAAACGTCAAAGTCCAGATATAAATTTAATTAGCAATGACTTCTTGAGGTCGAGAGGACGAGTTTGAAACATTATCAGACATGTTCATATGGTTGCCAATAGCCCATTCTGCTTCTTGCATTCGTAGGGGCGGTCGGGTAGCCCGGTGGTTAAACCCTTCGCTCATCACGCCGAAGACCCGGGTTTGATTCCCGACATGGGTACAATGTGTGAAGCCCATTTTTGGTCTCCCCCGCCGTGATGTTGCTGGAATATTGCTAAAAGCTCACTCTTGTATTCGTAAATACACCATGAAATGTTTCATGAGGAAAGCTCACTAAGACCCTAGATAATATGTTTACCATATGTTTTTATCTACATGTAAGAAAATCAGCTTGGGTCGCAGATTTGCTAAGTTTCAACCGTAAGGAAAAATATTCAACATAAAAAAACGAAAACAAAAACAGCCTTTCGAATATTTTAGCTTTCCACCTTTTATTAACTTAGTACTTTTGTCCTTACATGTACACATATATGCTCTCTGCCTCATGGCATCCATTCACCTATTGAAGGAGTTAGCATATTCTCCGAAACGTTGTGTTCCTCATAATAAAGAAGTTGACATCTAAACATTCTAAAATGTTTCAGTATACAATACTTACAGACTACCAACTCCTTTTGGTATGCCGTATTTCTCACAGTGCAAGACATTGATATAGGGCTCCATCCTCCGGGGGTACCTCCCTTCACTCCGCATCACCCTCTCCATGTCCCCCACGTCCGACACCAGCACCACCCACTCACCCAGGCGAACACGGACGAGGGGGCCGTACTGGCTGGCGAGATCATTGTACAACATGTTCGCTGTCTCCACGGTGTATTTTGCTGAAAGTGGTGGAGCGTGTAAAGGAAGAAGGTTAATAAGGATCACCCATCCTCGCGTATCTAGTGTATTATATCCAATTTCTGTTATGATTAATACCCTTGACCCATTGGCCACAATAGCCTCATTTTGATCCCGATTCCTACGCTGAAAATAGCCAATCAAATTACTCTCATGAACGATAGGAGTTCTGTGCTAAGCTGTACATAGGGGAGAGGGTAACGACGCTACATTTTAAAAAAAATGTGTTTAGATCCATACCGGAACATATTTTAGGTCTAAACATGTTTAGGGTCTTCATGTGTTGAAGACCCTAATTGGGGCGGTGGGTAGCCTTGTGGTTAAAGCGTTCGTTCGTCACGCCGAAGGCCCTGGCTCGGTTCCCCACATGGGTACAATGTGTGAAGCCCATTTCTGGGTCCCCCGCCGTGATGCTGCTGGAATATTGCTAAAAGCGGCGTAAAATCACACTCACTTACTTATTGATATCATGGTAGGTAGTTTAAGAAAGCGGCGGTTTCTATGGGCTTGTTGGTGTTTAATGGGGATACAGAATAGTATATAACAGATGGTATAATAATACAGAAGTATGTAGGGGTGGGGCTATCTAAAATAAAGTTAAGGGTCTATCGTAGCAATCAAATATACTTTCAATGTCAGCTTCAGTGATACACAGTTTAAACATGTTTTGCCTGAACTTTTAATTTTGTTTAAATTCTAAACATTTTTCAACATGTTACATTCTAAACATGTACCATGTGTAAGTTCTAACCATGTTTAGATTGTGGAGATGTGTTTAGGTGGTGTTTAGGCTGTGAGACGACAGCTCATTTCATGTGTTTAGACCCTGAACACCAAATGTGCTTTCCGTTTGGGATTTAAACACATTCGTGAACATGTCTTGTATCTGTTTACATTCTAAATAAAGCGACAAAACCCTTTTCCATATCCAATAGAAATCGTAAAGCAGAGTCGATTTACAATTCCGACTCATCATAAGCATGTGTTTATGAATCACTATCAAATAGTAATGATACCAGGTGTTCGAGAAAAGGTTAGGGTATCCTGCCCACCGGTGGCACCCGTCACAAACACATGCAAAGGAAAAGCAATTGTTCACCTGAAAAAAAACATGGGAACATATGGTAAAAGTCAAAGTAGGGAATAGCATTGGACATGATTTGTATCACTAATTGGAAATGTCCTCCACATGTCTCCAGTGCATGAAGCGTCTAGCGTACACGTAAAAAAAGAAATCGACCTCTGTGCCCTGGATAATCGTTGGTGAGGATCACTGCACACTTTTGTAGTAATAGTTTTAAAAACGTATAAAAAATGGTTCCTTTATACAAGACAGTGACGTCATCTAAAAAGTTGTAATAATCGCATAGATGATATCAAGTTGCCTGTTATGAAACGCTTCCATCTTAGTTCGAGATATATCTAGTTGTAATCCCTACGGACTAATTGCTATTGTTTGTTATCACACAGTCCGCAAAATGTATGGGAATAGAACAAGCTATACATCCATATACACCATACTGCAGTTGTCATAATTGGGCGCAGGCTGATCACGTGTCATTTCCCCGGATGTGTGAATAACCTAGTGACCCATTGCCGCTTCAATAACCATAATAGCTGTTTCTTTGAACTATTATTATTACATATGCCTGTTATCTTATCCCAATTACGTAGATCGATGCTCGCGATGGCAATCACTGGATTGTCTGGTCCTTAGTTGATAATTTAAAGACAAGGGTGCCGTTAGCGCTAAGGTGATCGTAGCTACATGTACCATATCTTTACATAGACTTAAGACAGTCGTAGCGCTAGGGTTGTTTTGTACATCGGCACCCTGGAATATTGCTGAGTGCGGCCTTAAACAACCAACGATTAAACACATTTAACGTTACATACAGTAAAACCTATTCAGCCCCGACCCCGTATATCTGAACAACTATCGCACTACTTGGGGTTTCTTTATGTTTGTGTTTGTTGTTTAAGGACCTTGTAATATGTCACCTGGTTTAAAATAATCGAATCTGGGCCAGGCAATCATGTGATTGATATTACGAACAACGATCCTCGCCGTCAGGGTACGATAACAAGTCAACGAGCAATCAACAACGGATCCATGAAGTCCTACAACATGATGACCAATTCTAACCCGGAATACAGTAAACTACGGTTATAACGAACACGCTTAAAACGAACTGACGGATATAACGAACTCATTTTTTTGGTCCCGACTATTTGCTGTAGTTATGCTATATATATGCTTATAACGAACTACGGTTATAATGAACTAAACTTAGTAGTCCCTTTGAGTTCGTTATAACCGTAGTTAACTGTATGTGATTTAGGGGCAGTATTCCTCGTAAATCCGGACCATTTTTACTGGGAACGGAACCGTAAATATACGTTGCAATGTACCGTACCGGCATTGTATATTATGATAGATGTGGTATCCTAGTAGTCAAAGCGTTTAAAAGACCCGGGTTCGTTTCCCCATATAGGGCAAAATGCTCAATATAATTATATATGTACACTGTGTTGTGGCATGATTATTGCTAACAGCGGCATGCAACCATTCCCTGGCATACAATACTTACTGAACGGTTTGAACAAAAACATGGCTCCAATTAAGGGTATATTGTACACCCCACTCGGTCCAGGAATTTCTTGAAACGGTCTGGCCTTTGGGATATCCATATCTCTCCCAGTGGCGGTATGCGAGGACATTCGTAGTTTGAGCCACGCTTTCCGAATGCCTCTGACTGCCCACTTCATTGTGTGCCGATGTTGAGAGAGGTGTTTGTACCTGAAAGGATTGTTTGTTGGCCGAAAACGTGTTACAGTTGCGATACGCACTGATAAATGTGAAGAGATGACTGACCTTGACCCTATAGGGCAGTGCCGACAGACAGGTGGTGTGTACATATCATTCATGAAAAGGAAGTGACGTACGGGTGTGTCACAACAGTGAAGGAAGAAGGAACAAGTAGAGTAATATATTGTTAAAATAACAAATAACATAAAGACATGAACGATTTTTTTAATTATAAAATGATTTTTTGTTACGACGAAGCCATGATGCGTGACTAGAAGAAAAAGAAGAAGTTACGAACACTAATAATCATCTGTACTGTTATACGTGGGACTTCACGCTTAAGGCAGGTCGCGTTTACCCGTGTTATTGACACCTTGTGTCACTCAGTCTTTGCCTTTACGAAGGTTCGCGAATGTAGTGGCTCCGTGTATTGTTCGCGTTCATTCAGTGGGCGTTCTTGCGACAGATACACTCAGAAATCCCCGACAGCACTACTGAATAGTTACCAGAGCGCCATATATCTTTTGTGAGTGAACAGCGGCTCAGGTCATTGCTCTCTTGGAATGTAACGCAATGAAAATTATTCTTGTGTAGCACGTGTGTCTAGAAAGGACCGCCGTCAGCTGGAATATTGCGGTGCGCGGCGGTAAACAACAAACAAACAAATGTAGAAATATACTCACAATGGCCTCTAGAAAGTGGTCAAATGTAACAATTTTTATATTTGGTATAACACTTTCTTAGAAAAGTAAAGATTCTCGTACTTTTGGGGGGTTGGGTCCCGTCCGGGATTCGAACCCACACTGCCAGAGTGAGGCACTAAATCGCTTTGGCAGTGTGGTTTCGAGACTCAACCCAAAAAAGTACGAGAAGTTTTACTTTACTAAGAAAGTGTTATACCAAATATAAAATTTATTAAACATTAAGTCAAGTATATTATGAAAATATGACATGCCGTGGTAGGCGCGGCCATTCGCGGTGAAAGTTTGCGCTACAGAAACCAGTGAGGGAGGGTCCGAATTCCAGATTCGTTCTAATTTTGTTTCAATGTTTGTCGGTGCTCTTGTGTTTCACAAGGCTGGTAAACGTATAAGACATATATGACTGCACCATTAAGCCGACACGCCCTGATATAACTGTTAACCTGTTTCAAACAATGTAAAACCAATCTCGCTCATTCACTGTTGTAAAGGGGTCGGTGGCCTTAGGTACAACAAACGTACTTGACTTGACTCTTGAAGAACGAATTTTCACTGACATGTGCTACATAAAAAGATGTGATGATAGCATCAATGGTACACGGATAAGTGCATTTAATACGCAGCCTACGACCACCTGATTCCCGTATTCTACTGTCATACTTGATCAGTTACACATGTTGGAGAACGGGAAAGGGTGTGTGGCAATAGGCCAGAAACACAATGACAATATGCACCAACACGTGGATTTCACACACATCTGTGACACAAGGTGAGCGATCATTCAATCGTTCTACCTGTTCATACATTTAAGTGTTACTGGATAAAAGGAAGTGAGTGACCATTTTGTAACAGGTACGGCTATGATTAATAAGACAGTGATTAATATGAATTCCTGATTAAAAACAGGAATCGCGTGTTAACTGTTTTACGCCGAACTCAGCAATATCTCAGCTATATGACGGCGATCTGTACATACTAGACAAGCATGGTAGTCTTAAGACCATTTCTAACGGATCTTTAGAAATCTCAAACAAGGGGAAAAGGAAGAGACGAATTTCAGAAGCAAAAATAACACATGCAATTTAAAATCATAGTGGCATATATTTAACTTTTAATTTTATTTGTGACAAATTTGTAATTTTAGTAACATGCAGGACTCAAATACTTGCTTAAAGACATTAGCTACAACCTGCAGATAACAGGTATGATATTAACTGTTTGATTGACATGCTAGAAGTTGGTGAGTAAGTAGGAAAACGTACAACTTTATGAATAACAAATCCTGGTGTATTGCAAATGGCGACATTCCTGGTGTCCCCCGCCGTGATATTGCTGGAATATTGCTAAAAACGGCGTTAAACCCTACTCACTGACTGACTGACTGCAAATGGCGACGTTTCGATGTAGATTCTTACACCGCTATCAAGCTGGAGGGACGACAACCATGTGATGAGAGGTATATTAGCATGATATGTTATTTAATTACGATGCAATCAGCTTTTCACAGGTGTTTAATCCTTTTAATCCTCATCCTTGTGTGCTATTTCTGGTTCTGACTGTACATCTGGCTTCATCCAAGTATCCGTATGCTACTTGTTATCTATTACCTGTTGTTGACAATAGTAATCAGCTGCTTATCACAACATATCATGCTTATATACCTCTGATCACTGGGTCGTTGTCACTCCAGCTTGATAACGGTGTAAGATTCGACATCGAAACGTCACAATATGCAATAAACCAGAAATTTTCTTATTTTGTTCTGACATTTAATTACAGTAAACTACGGTTAAAACGAACACACTTATTACGAACTGACGGATATAACGAACTCATTTTTTTTGGTCCCGACTATTTGCTGTAGTTATGCTATATATATGATTATAACGAACTACGGTTATAACGAACTAAAATTAGCAGTCCCTTTGAGTTCGTTATAACCGTAGCTTACTGTGCATAGACGATCAATTTACCTGACTCGCTCAAAGTAGACACAATATGGATAACAATTTCTTTAATTACTGTAAAGGCGACGTTTCGGTATAGATCCTTATACCATTGTATCATGTTCTTCGTTAAGTCTTGCTTGACAACAATATAAGGATCTATAACCGAAACGTCGCCTTTCCGGTAATTAAAGAACCTGTTATCCATAAAATGTGTCTTTTTTGTCACCCGTCAACTTCTCAGTTATGCCCATCAAACAATTGACTCGCTCAGTTTAAGACAGTGAAACATCAATACTTACTGTTCTGTAGTGCGCGCTTCTGTTAATGTGTACTCCTCTTAAAGCATCCATCCACTCAACAGTCCATCCTTAGATCCCATCCCATCATTACACATATCAGGAAAAGTTGAATTCTGCACCAGGCTCAGTTGTCACAACGTTGCCAAAGTTCACCATAAACCCACTTTGGCTAGGCCCACTGACCTAGATGTTCTCCCACGACTTGCATAGGCTATATGTTTAAGTTATGTCTGTCGAGTAAGAAGCCTTGGGTATAATGATAGCTTTATAAACACAATCTATAAACATAATAGGAATAGGCTTGACAAACAAAACATTCAGAGAGGTATGTACGTCCACCTTTTGTATGGAGTCAAATGACATGATCTCCCACGCATAGTTCACGGATCGTGATCATGGTGAATCAGTAAATGGGAAGAGGGATTTGCGGCGTCATACAAAACAAGCCTACAGTGTACGTCACGTCGGCTGGAGCAGATAACAGACTGATAGTGGAGAAATTGATCCAGTTCGTCCGGTAACAATACAGGACACGGATGCATGACTTCTATACAACGTGTAATTGTTTATGGACATTTTTGTTATATAAGTGGGAGGATGTCCATCTGTTACCATCCACACACTACATAACAATTCCCACTCCTTCTATCACATATACTTAATAATCTAACATCGATAACTTGACTAAAGTACACCCTTGCTCGTGAAAACGCCTACGGTCCTCTCTGCTTGAGCAGTGATTTCTCCATCATGGTAAGGGCTTTGTTGCTTTTATTCCGATTACCAATGCTTAACAATTTTAACTTGGATACACCATAATTAAAACACACCCTTGTTTGTGGGAAACACCCCTGACCCCCTCTGGTCTGTTTATAAATTTCTATGATTATGGAAAAGGTATTGTCGCTTTTGTTTCTACCACAGAGTGCGTAAATAATGTAACATCGAAAACATGAATAAATTATACCCTTGCTCGTGGTAAACGCTTCCGCCTTGCACCGGCCGACATGTCAAGCTATGGCACGGTGTAGAGTTATCTTCATTCACTCGATTCAGACACAAAATGAACAGTTTTACTTTAGACTGTTTCCTCACATTCAGATTACCGAATCCTTCCAAACAAAGTATGAACTCTTGAAGAAAAAATATGCCATGATCATCATATCGGGTGAGGACCGCCTCCGTGGTCTACTGACAGAGCTCTGCCCGGAGAGGGAAGGTTGGGGGCTCGATCCCCGGCCGCGTCATACCAAAAGACGTTAAGAGATGGTTCTTGTTGTTACCATACCTGGCGCTCGGCATCAAGGGCCTTAAACAAATAGTGGTCGGCTCGGAGTCCTATTGTGTCTGCGTGGAGTATTCATGTTAAACTGCGGCATGGTACCTCAGAGTGCTAGCACTACTATAAAGTCGGTATTAGTCCGGAGTAGTACAAACAGACAGACACCCAGACACAGACATACACACAGACACACAGACACACACACACACACACACACACACACACACACACACACACACACACACACACACATGCACGTCGCCATTTAAAAACACTGATCTTGAACGCGACGTTAAACCCCATTTCACCTAACCTCATATCAGGTGACAAATACATCAGTGTGTCATTGCAGAGTAAGGAACATGCATTTATGGATATCGTCGAGCAATGGAGAAACCAGCAAGACTCTCCTAGAGAAGCATTATGCTATTAAAAAAATAAAGAAACGTGCTTTGATTGTCTCCCCAAAATAATGATTTTCTACTCATTACTATCTCATTCAGTTTTCAAGTGATCGTTTTCAATAAAGAGAGATTCGGAAAGATTGTCCATGTTAAAAGTACCAACGTGCAAACATACACACTCGAAATGCTAATTAGTTTTGTTTGTCTGTTTGTTGTTTAACGCCGCACTCAGCAATATTCCAGCTATATGACGGCGATCTGTAAAATAATCGACTCTGGACCAGACAATCCAGCGATTGACATCATGAGCATCGAATTGGGATCGATGACATGCATCAACCAAGCCAGCGAGTCTGACCACCCGATCCCGTTATTCGCCTTTTACGACAAGCATAGTCGCCTTTTACGGCAAGTATGGGTTGCTGAAGACCTATTCTACCCCGGAATCTTCACGGGTCGCTTATTAGTAAAAAACAAAACATGTTTACCCAGTTTAAGAACATTAATTAACTCTCGCGGCCAAACATGTTTTTTGTTTGTTTGATTGTTTTTTAACGCCGCACTCAGCAATATTCCAGCTATATGACGGCGGTCTGTTAGGAATCGAGTCTGGACCAGACAATCCAGTGATTGACATCATGAGCATCTACGCAAATGGGGTACGATGACATGCATCAGCGAAGTCGGCGAGCCTGACCCGCCAAACATAGTAGCCCTTTATGGCAAGCATGGGCCCTATATGTACACGTACTCATTTAACATTCAGCGTCTACTCACATATTTTATTAGCCAGCATGTATATGCTTTGACCATTCTGATAAATACGCGTACGTTCACACAGCAAGGCTGTTGACTTCGTTTCGATGTGTTTCAATATAAATATAAAATGTAAACGCCAGACAATAGCGTGTCTCGACTCTCCACCGGAACAGATTCCATTGGGCGTACAAGGAAAACAGCGGTGACAATTGTACGAATGGATCCCTGAAAATCAGTTTGACACCATGCATTCGCTAAAAGGGTAAGCTTGTTCTGCTCTACCAACCCCCAAACGCACGAAAGGAGTTCAAATATCACTATGTCCATTTCATTGTCATGGATATGATTGTCGATCCCCACCTGCCGCGTCATACCAAAAGACTCTAGATGGCACTTGTTGTTACCCTGCCTGGCGATCGGCATTAAGGGGATAAAACAAGGACTGGTAGGCTCGCCGGAGACAGTATTCTGTGTCTGAGTTGGGTAACCATGTTACTACGGCATGGTATCTCAGTGGGATAGTATCATAAAAGTCTGGAATAGAAAAAGCAGGTACACACAGGTTTGTGGATCTTGTCAGATTTGAAACAGGTCACAATAGGATTTCACTGATGTTATTGATTTCACTGATGCATATCAATATCTGGTACATCAGTGGTCTGTCCCACACATATCCCTCGTGAATGAATACTTATATCAGGGACCCATATATGCCATTGTTATTGAAAAACGAAGGCTTGCCCAGAAATCCTAGAGAATCAGTAAAAAACCTGACAAAATTCATAGATAATTAACAAATTATATTGAAACACATAGGATTCGGTGGACAATCTAAAAGGGCAATACAATTGGTCAAACATATGGCAACAGCAACCAGTATCAGGCCCGATGAGAAACACCAGTGCACTCACGAATGTCCAGCATGTGTCACTAATGTCTTGACAGAGGTACTTGCTCCGTTCTTGATTCAAGGAAACAGCGTTGGAAGCAGGCAGAAAACTCCGTGTTTACAGAAGATGTCCCGTCCGCACTGGGCCAGCAGTAAAGACGCAAGTCAGATCGTAGAAGGCGTCGGCACGAAACTTCTCGAATGAGGTAACCTGTCCGCGTGTATCGACGACTGCGAAGAAGTTCCGAATCCTAATTCTAAGGGATGTCATTCTAATCTACGAGCTGCCGTGGGCCTGCCGCTAAAGAAAATCCTTGCCATACCAGAAAACGACATTTTATTTCATTTAACTGCCAAACAATTTCCAGAAAGAACTTATAATAGCCACAGTCACAAAACACTATGACGAGGGATGTTTTGTCTGACACGGTGTAATCTTAGCTTATATTTCGAAGAATGGTTGATAGTGCTTTGTTCATTAATACGGTTCAAGGCCAACCATATGATTTGTTCCCGGAACTGGTTGAAAAATTCTTTATCCTCAGGTTTTATCAACTAACCAGTCAACCAACTATTCAACCAACCAACCACCCACCCACCTACCCAACCAACCAACCAACTATTCAACCAACCAACCACCCACCTACCCAACCAACCAACCAACTATTCAACCAGCTATTCAACCAACCAACCAACCAGTCAATCAATCAATCAAGCAATCAACATGCTGAATGCACTGTAAAATAGGTTGTGGGTCGGAAAAATGTGTTTGTTTCCCTCTGTATGTCTTGCAGCACTAACTGAAAATATGTTCTGCAAAACCCAGAATATTAAAAGGCCGGTCACTCAGCTCTACTGATCCAAGCTGGACATTCGTGATGGATCCCAACCATGTTGGTCTACGACTTCCTCTCCTTGAACTTGAATTTGATTGGTTCTTTGGTCCCGACGAAAGGCCGATAATGTATCTCAATTTCATTTTGTCCTGGCTCCAACGACACTTCAAACTTCTGTATTATCTAAAAATAGAAATAGTGAAAATTATGAGATTTGAATGCAACTCCCAAATTAAAGTAATATTTTGTTGTGTGAATAAAAAAACCAACTAATGCATTTAGACCAAACCGTGTAGAAAAAACAAAAACATTTACGGAAAGTAGGTTTTTTAGATGGAAAAGAACTCTTTTCTGCGCTGAACGCCAGGAAACACGATTTTTTTCGGATTTGAAAGTATTACACAGTTAATTTTTGTTACATACATGTAGTCTAATCAGTCTAACCAAGGTCACGGGGTTTTGAAGATCACAATAATGCATACGAATAATATACAAGGGAAGAGAAAGAGTAAAAGAATGTTTAAAGACGCGATGGACAGTATTTCAGTTAGATCACGGCAGGTTAGCTTGATGTGGGAGAAAAGCCCGAAGTGATGCAGGTTTCAGAAGTTTGTCACTGTAGTGAAACCCACGGTCACGGGTAAAATGAGAGGCTACCTGGAAAGATGATGAAAGCATACCGGGATTAGAACGTAAAGTTCATTCATCGGATCGTTGCTCTCCTAAGGGACAGCTGTGGCGGCCATGCTTACGATCGGATTGGAATTCAGCGAGCAACTTTAATAAACACCATAGTTGGGATGGACAGTCAAACAGGCGTACAATTCGACAAGCCGCCTTGACATCTGCTCAATTGACTTTCCGTCCGTAAGCTAAACATGCATGCTGCGGAACATTCAATGACTTAATAACCTTTGTTACTGCCAAGTATATTTCCTGCTCAGCAAATCTCTTCCCAAGACATTGCCTTGGACCAAAGCCGAACGGAAGCAAGGCAGATGGCGGTATTGGCGTGGCTCGTTTGCCTTCACTGTCCCTCAGCCATCGTTCGGGGAGATAACTCTCTGGGGCAGGGAAATATTTCTCATTTTTGGCAGTTTCCTGGTTCATCATTATCAGCGATGTCTGTAAAGTTAAAATATTTGCATCATACTATATCAAGTCGATGTGTCGATTTGTGTCGAGTCCAATCAGTACATAGTCACAATACAGGGTCTAATAAAGGGCATTTAAAGTTAAATGTACTTTTGTACAAATTCTTTTGACAGTATGATGAGTGGTTGAGAGCGTTTGAGTGAGTGAGTGAGTGAGTGAATTTGGTTTTACGCCGCTTTTAGCAATATTCCAGCAATATCACGGCGGGGGACACCAGACATGAGCTTCACACATTGTACCCATGTCGGGATTCGAACCCGGGTCTTCGGCGTGACGAGCGAACGCTTTAACCACTAGGCTACCCGACCGCCCCTTTAGAGCGTTTGACGCTGCTTTGAACAGTTATATGACGGTGCGTCAGCTTGATGTGGAAGGCAAGCCAAAAGTAAAGCAGGTATCAGACGCTCACTACTTCTTTGAAAACCACAGGCACGGCAACAGTGCTGGGAAATTTAATCAGGGCGAACTGCGTCCCAAACCACAATAAGGCGTCGCAATTCGCTGTGCAGAGTTGCGTCCCTTGGACACACCAGACCCCTTTGATTGTGAGTTCGAATCCCAGTTTTACCAGATAACAATTCAGGTTTGTCAGCACGATACCTGTACTCCTGGGTTTCACCTACGTGGTAAACGTCTGAGACCTGCATCACTTCGGGCTTTCCCCCACATTACAAGCCGTGATATAACTGGAATATTGTTGAAAGCGGCGTTAAAACCCAACTCTATCACCCTCACTCCAAACCACGATTTTCTGGCGCGCCTAAGGGACGCAAGTCTGCACATGGAATTACGGCGTCCTATACGACTTCCTTGACCCTCACATCATTACGAAAGCGGCCGGTTCCTTGGTGTATGTACAGACAATATGATTTATCCCACAGGAAAAACTAAAGGAAAAACTTCATTCCTTGATCCACGAGGCAGTTGTTACTACTCATAGTGACCATGGCCATAGATATAGTTACATCTCTATCGTCAGAGGTACAAGACAATTTGTCAAAAACCGAAAGCAAATGCCATCTGAACTTAATGGAGAAAACAATATGTGAACTGCTCGACTTCTTCTTTGATAACATATATGTGCAATTTGGACATAAGACATTTAGCAAAGAAGTAGGCATCCTCATAGGCACCAATTGTGCTCCCCTTCTTGCTGCTCTGTTTCTTTACGTACGCATATAAATAGGAATATCAGCTCCGGTTGTCAAAATCAATCAAAGGTAATTTGGCGAAGAAGTTAAATCTGATATCGTTCAATAACCGTCAAATAGCCAATTCCCTTACACCGATTTACGCACCTGAACTAGAGACCAGTAAAACCGCCTCATCTGTTTCATATTTATAAATATGCATAGTCATTCACAGTAACAAAATTAATCTCTCAACAAGACTGTTGACCGAATTACATGTACCAGATATGTTTAAACACTTGATCGGCTGCACTCAGCACTGTTCCCGTGCACTTTAACATGTAACTGACCCATTTGTTTTGTTTATGTCCTACATATATTTCACCTCTTGTAAGTGTAAATGTGACAGTATCTGCGAACTGAACTTGTTACCAAACAACGTTGAGTTTGTCACCCAGGCGATAGGAGGAAACATGAACTAATATACTGAACAGCAAAAGAAGCACAAGTGTAACCATTCCATTTTTTGTCTGAATTCATTGGAAAATACTAAAATGATGACAGTTGAGCCGATGACAATATGGTGTCAATTCCACACATGCACACAAACACAACCATATTAACCAAATATAAAACACCGGAGGATATGCAGTCTCGATTATCTGACGAAACAGACACCAGGTGCTTGCGAAAAGGGTAAAACCATGAATTTGTACGTGCAGTAATGATCTGGGATAAAAGCAGGTGCATTTTCGCTCTTAGGTATCCTTTATAAAGATGTATGTCAAACACAGGTTCAAAATACATAGTTGACGGTCTACAGTTGAATTCCTTGGAACGTTGCAGGCCAGCAGCTCCGCGATGTAACCAAACAGTTAGGATGTCATCTCACCACCATCACAAGATCTGCACAACGTCAGCAGCAAATATGATCCGTTGCTGATTGACTACATTCTAGTCGACCTAGAGTTACTATACCTGCACTAGGTCGTTCTACAGGAGTGAATCATCTTAGGATTAGAACTCAAACAGCAACAAGAACAGATGCTGAAGTAAAGCGGCCTAGGGGACCAGTATCATCAGACACGTTTCGACGACGTCTCCACGACGTTTTGGGAGCTCTCAGCTACAACCATGGGCCCCACGTTCTTCGTCCTCACGTTGTTCCATAGCACATCTTCAATTGAGTACCAACAGGACAAGGCACGTCCTCAAACACCAAGGATGTTGATGGAGTCAGGATTCTGATTCCTCCATGGCCATCTCTCTCCCTGGATATGTCTTCCATGGAATATGTCTAGGGCGAAACTGAATATTGGAATGCAGCGGGTAGACAACCAAATAAACTTGCTCACTTGCCTTGGACGTTCTTCTAGAATTTCTTTTAACTGGATGAGGCGACGTTGTACAGCATGTGTGCTAGCCCAAGATGGCCATACAAGCTACTGAGGAGACTGTCACTTTTTAACAACGAAGTACATGTCTTTTTGACGTTCTGTTCCACTGTAAACCTCCGTTAGCCCTGTGAACAACCACCTTCAGCTCTTTAACAGACAGTTCTATCTATAAATATGTGATTTGACACCTTTGTATTTGTCTTTTGTTCCATAACTTGAAACGTTTTCAGATTTGCGTCTTTTACTTGCTGTTCAGTATACATATGTGAAACGGCTGTTTCATTCATTCCTTGAAAATTTTGTTAAAGTTAACAAAGCTATCTGGATATTAATCGTCACATAATATTTTAACTATATGCTAATGATATTTGGTTACAGATCGTAGGTGTGACATGTGTAAACATGAACAGTGCACATACCCCCTTAGGGATCCTGTGTCCCTGCAAGATTATGTCTCCTGGTAAGTATCGCTGAGTGCCTGATACAATGGGGAATGTCAGCCTGTCAAGAAAGGATATGAACCATATTTTACCAATACAGACATGATAGACGGATATGGCACATACAAATCAGTTATTATATATTTATGGACATGCCTATCATAATTGCGATAGGAAATTATGCTCTGTTGAGTCAGGACATTTTAAGATATATATGCCCTGTGGGAACAGAAGACGAGCATTTATAGTCCTTAAATAACTGTAGAACCTGTGAACACTCGACCCTTGAAGATCAGGGTTAGAATATAGGTCTTCAGCAACCTAAGCTTGCCCTAAAAGGCGACTATGCTTGTCGTAAGAGGCGGGTAACGAGATCGGGTGATCAGGCTCGCTGATTTGGTGGATGCATTTCATCGTATCCCCGTTGCGTAGATCGATGCTCATGATGTCAAGCACTGGATTGTCAAGTACAGACTTGATTATTTACAACCGCCGTCATATAACTGGAATATTTCTGACTGTTGCGTTACACATCAAACAAATACTCCCGTGTACTGTTCACATTATCTAGAAAGTTTGCTCCTTTTCTTAGGATTGAAAGGTCGAACACATGTAACCCCTTACGATATATCCAGTTTGCCATACATGATATATATCACAAATAATCTTACCTCACCTAAAGGACTCTTTGAGACACGCTGACATGTAGGGCACCTTGCTGAGGGCGTCTCCGGTGAGAGGACCCGAAGGTCCTAGGACACTGAGGATCTGCTCATACAGTTTCTGCTGCTTGTCTGGATTCACGGCCATGTTATACAACATCATCTGCAGATTGCGGGCGGTCTGAGGACAAGTACAAGATAAGGTTGGAGAAAGGATGTACGTTTTGAGGTCGAATACAGAACATTCACGTGGTTAGAGGTTACCTATTTTCTGAAACATAGAAACATTTCTTCAAGTAGTGCCACTGTAGTACTGCTTCTGTTGTAGTAGAGACCCATGATGTTGTCTATGTCCTTTATTTTCTCCATACATTCCAGTTTGAATCAACAAATAAGAATGCCTTCTTTCTTTTACCTGTTAACTTCCTCGACACAATAAAGGGGCAAACAATAGTGGGTACAGCTTCTCCGGGGAGGGGGTGGGATTACTAAACAACCTGGCACCCGGTATCTCCCCACTCATGGCTACACAGCACGAATTCAGTAAGGCTATTGGAAGAGATGTTAATGATCAGTTGTAACAGTGAAATAATGCATCTTATTGCTTCCAGGGATAAAAATTACTGACCGAATCTGTTCCAGCAATGAAGAGATCCATAGATATAGCGACCATGTCCCCAACTGACATCTTGTCCGTCATAATCAGAGACAGCATGAAGTTGTTTTCTTCTGGATTTGATGTGCCTTCTTTGACTCTGCTGTTGATGTCCTCCATTGCTTTTTCATAATAGTCGCGTGCATTGCTGACAACAGATATAACATTTCACTGCAATTAGTAAGAAAGCGTTACTTTACAAATATGCTCACTTTAGTAGATCTTTTGTCTAAGGCACTGCTGTGAAGATTTGCGTCCCTTGGGCGTGCCACAACCTATGATCATGGGTTCAAATCCGGTTCGTCCTGATTAATCGTATGATTCCAGGTTTGTAGGCACCATACGTGTACGTTGGTTTCACCAAAGTGGTAAACACCTAAGCCCACACCAAACTGGAACGCTGTCATGTAACTGATATGCTGTTCAAAGCGGTCACTCTTGAGGTAGACAATTGTTAACGGATTCTTTTTTCTGTACATCAAATTGGTTTAATAATTATAGTAATTGAATCAGTTGATAATATATAGCGGTCCCAAATTCAATATTCACTAGCAAATCAATATTTGATATTTGATAATAATTGATAGACGCTCTGTTGAGTATTTGAATCAGGGAAATTAACACAATTACAAAGGAATTCTTTGCTCCCATACCTGACAAGGCGATCTGCGACTGTTTTATACACTCGTTTCTCCTTCAGTGGCAAATATCTTGTGATAAACTCGGGCACGTGTTGGTTGTCACTGACGAGTTCCAGGACTGCCTTGATGTCAGCGAGGACCTGCAGCTTGTCTGGGTAGTCATCAATGTTGGGGCTGAGGTAACCCAGTCGTCGGTCGTAGGTCACAACGCCGATGCCTAGACAGATACATATGCTGATGCTATAATCAACAGAAACATTATACTGTATCACGTTAGAAACACAAAGTATGTTAACTTATAATTGCGCCTTTTTGTGACAACCTTGAGTCATCTCACGACTTGAGACAACATCATGGGCTTTACATATGTTTTCCCAGGAGGGTGGTTTTACCATTAAGAAACCCCACCCTTTTCGCGAACACTTGTCATCAATGATTTTCACTTATCCATTCAAATAATTTTCACCGCTATTTGGCCGTTTAAACCCAATGGAATCTGTTTCGGCAGATAATCGAGACTGGTTATTCTCTGGCGTTGACCTTTTATATACATTTGATGAATGCAAATCCAAGCCTTAGTGTTATTTGATTGTTGCAATTGGGGGCTTAACATACTGTATTTATAATGTGGAGCTTGGCTACCTGCAGATTTAACGATGCTTGATCGAATTTCGAATTGAACGTGTTGCATGAGGTTTAAATAGTTATTTTCCAATTAATGGTAGTATGAAAACCCTCCCTGGGAGTTTCACATTTACTTGAGGTGGTTCAGATCAGTTAACAATCTAACCCGAAACCCCAAAAGATTTCTCGAAATGTTTTCAGTATCAGTTACGGTCGTACACCAAGTACATGGATACTCGTGCAGACACGAACAAGAAAAGGTCTCGGACTTTAAGATCTGTGATACATAAAAGTAGCTATGTATAGTGTAAATTGTACACACTTTTCCTACTTATCGTAATTCGCATATCTGTTACACTAGTAGCGCAGGAAGCATAAGTAGACGTCGTCATCTTGATTAAAGGGGCCTGAGTCTTGGAAGTTGTGTAATAGCAAGTATTTCCGAAGCTGGGTTAGTTCGCGTTGGCGGGAATGATACGTTTATATATTTTGTAGGAGGAAAGGATACGTCAGCATTGCCTTACTTTCACACGCGTATCTGTACAACAAATCCAACATTTCCTCCGGCTTGGCGGTTTCCTGTTGAAGGAGGATCACAAGATCATCACCAACCTCGTTTTGAATTGGCAGATAATGCTGAGCTGAATTGACCCGCATTAGTCGTGGATTGACAGGACGTCGGAAATTGTACCATTCTTTACCCTGCCTTTAAACATAAAAAAGAACCAAAATGACAATCCTATTATATAAAAAATATGAACTGAACGTTCTTAAAGCAAGAGGCGGTTGGCTAGCCTAGTGGTTAAAGCGTTCGCTCGTCACGCCGATGGCCCGGGTTCGATTCCCGACATGGGTACATTGTGTGAAGCCCATTTCTGGTGTCCCCCGCCGTGATATTGCTGGAATGTTGCTAAAAGCGGCGTAAAACCACATTCACTCACTCTTAAAGCAACGTTTAATTATTGTCAACCTGATAAACAAAATATTTGACAGATTTGGCAAAATGTATATGTGTCTTAATATACCAGTTTGAACACTGACACCCGGTAGTCTTTCTTTGTAGTTTCTTAGTTGTATTGAATAGACTATTTATGTTATGTCTGATGTGCATCGACAATGACAAAAGACATATTTGATTCATCAGAGACGTCGTGATTACTACAATAGGTTCATGGAACAGAATACTGGGTATATCCACTTACAAATGTGCCAGACCTTTCTTGAAGCCGCTGTGTTCACAATACAGAGAGTGTATCGGGTAGAGCCTTCTCTTGGGGTACTTCCCCTCACAGCGCCTTACAATTTCCATGTCAGCAGGGTCCTCAATCAAGACTGTCCATTCCCCGAGACGGACTCGAACCAACGACCCATACGTCTCCAGAAGGTCGCTAAACAGTCGGTGCACTGTCCATGTTGTGTGATCAGCTGGGGTAGAAATTGTCTATAGGTCAACTTCGAGAACCTTTGTTAATGCATTTGACAGTTGGTGCACATTCGCTACTCTATGGTCAGCTTGAGTAGAATGGTAATAAGATGCAGATACATGAAGGATGGAACAGTCGTGGTCCCTTTATACAGTTATATATTATCATTCAGTTGGTGCACAAGCTGTTCACAGTCGATGGTCAAACCAACCACAACGTATAACTAAGCAGAAGTGATCAAAAGATTCATGTATCTATCTTAAAGTATATGAGAATCGGTTCTATACTATATGGTGAAAAGGGTGGTTTGTATCAATAAATAAACCTTTATGCTAGAGTCAGTAGGATTTTCCGTATATTTTACAAAATGTATTTAACAGAAATATTACACAGCAGATTACGTACAGAATTGGCTTCTCAAGTTGCACTCATGGGGCGAATCGAACCTTTGTCCAAGTAGACTACCGACAGTCTATGTTAAGCACTGGACAGTCAGTGCACACACTACTCTGGTCAGTGGTAAATATCATCAGGTAACGTCTTGAGTTTACAGGCAATATACAGTTTCGGACTGTTGTCTGACAGGAAAAGTAAACATCTTTGCATTGGATATATAAAATGTCTGTAAATTTAAACGGAAACTTGCAAAAGTTAAGTAGTTTATTGTTTTCTGATATGGGTTTCCGTGTGGCGGAATTCAATTTCTTGCACTCAATATTATCCACATGTGTACACTAGCAGAGCATCACCATACGCAGGAGGGTTCTGCTTGAAGTGTTTATACGCTGTCTCTCTAACCTTTGAAGGGCAATTCCCTGATTGTGGTTGAGCCAAGTCGCTGTACTTTATAGCCAAGTCTATGTAACATGACACTGAGACTATTGTATTTAGAATGTAAACACAGACATGACATGTTTAGATCTAAACATTTGGTGAGTTCTATCTAAGAGCATTAAGGTCTAAACACATGAAATGAGCAATCGTCTCATATTATCTAAACTTGTTCAGGAGTTTAACGCGTTAGTGTGAGTGAGTGTTGTTTTACGCCGCTTTTAGCAATATTCCAGCAATATCACGGCGGGGGACACCAGAAATGGGCTTCACACATTGTACCCATGTCGGGAATCTAACCCGGGTCTTCGGCGTGATGAGCGAACGCTTTAACCACTAGGCTTCCCGACCGCCCCTTTTAACGCGTTAAAACATGTTTAGATTATAAAGATGTTAAACATGTTTAGTATTTAAACAGGTTTAAGCAATTTGGATAATTAGAAATGTTGCGAATCTAAACATGTTTCACTAAAGTGCATACCCCCTCCAAAAAAAAAATAAAATAAAAAGAAATTTAATCCATTTATACTGCAAGAATAGCTTTTACCCACCCCACCCCCTCCCACCACACACACGCACTCACTTCTGTATCCCCTTTAAACGTTAATAAAACTATAGAAAGCACTCCTATTTTAAATTAATGAAATTGAAGAGATGTATAGTATTACACATTTAGACTCAATCCAAATCCTCAATCCTCAAACACAATCCTAAATATGATAAGGCCTAAACATGTCAAAATTCTGGGACAAAGAACGTGTTATAGTTTGTGGTTAGGATCTAAACACTTTTTTTTCAGGGTATTTGCTCTATATTTGCAGAGCCGGGCGGAGTGAAATGAAATACCCCTTTGTCATGCTCGGGTGAGTGAGTGAGTATGGTTTTACACCGTTTCTATTCCAGCCTTTATTCTAGCAGTTCACCACAGTGTATACCAGAAATGGACTTCACACACTGTACCCATGTGGGGAATCGAACCCGGGCCTTCGGCCCGACAATCGAACGCTTTTAATATTGGGCTACCCCATGGCACCGACATGCTCTAGGTTATATTCACAGTTGAGATGGGGGAGCGGATCGGTTAAAGCGTTCGCTCGTCACGCTGACGGCCCGGGTTTGATTCCCAATTTAAGAACACGGGTACGCCGAAGGCACCGTTTCGAATCCCACCGCAGTGCAAAGTGATAAAGCTGTAAAAATCCTAAAAGCATCATAAAACCCATCTGACAAACTATACTGTTTCTATACACCACGCCGATAAAAAAAACCCCACTAGTTTACCTGTTTTACGAAGAGTCTTATTGCTGTTTCAGCAACTTTACGACCGGGTCATCAAGATCAGGATAATCCTAGGCTATCTTTGTAAGGAGCAAACATCCTCATCACTAGTACACATTATACTGCATTACGAGGGGACACTCGCCTGCCTAGAGGGACTTCCGAACTCAACATACACATACAGTTTGCAAAAAATGTGCTTTTTACTTGTCTGTTGTTCAACACGCAATTATCAATTCTAGTATTCCAGCTATATGAAGGCGGTCTGTAAATAATCGAGTCTGGGTCAGACAAACCATTATGAGCATCGATCTACGCAACTGGTATACGGTGACATGCATCGATCTGTACGGGAGATATGCTTTCTGACGCCCGTGGCCCCCGTCCGACAAAGCGATCTTAGTACTACGACTGTCGTAAGCCTATGTTAAAGTATGGTAGCTTCGATCATCTTAGCGCTAAGATCGCTTTGTGGGACGAGACCCAGAACATTACACAACCTTCGACACCTTCGACACAATCACCTGTAAATGAAATTGTTATTACTCTATTAAATATCTTGCAATTCTATTACTTAATCCCTATCACGCGACGAAACAATACATGTCAATGTAGACCCCGAAATCATGTGACTGACACTGACCTCAAATCATTTAATCAGTACTGGCCTGTCACGTGATGAATATTGACTCGTCTGCTAGAAAACAAGATGGCGTATGGTACGAACATTTACGGTTTGCAGCTCAGTCACTGTAACGAAACAGAAGACGGTTTAAAGACGTCATAAACTTTAAGTGAATTTCGGTATAACGAAAAGAATGATTACTCTTGATAAGGTAAATAATGTCGGTCCGGTCAGACCATCTCAGGGGTCGTGTCCTCGGTCCTCGTATTCGCATACAGACCTCGTCAAGAGTATTTTCTTGTATAGTGTGTGCAGGTAATCCAGTTTAATGGCATGGGTAATGATTCACAGTAACGATTCCCCCGACAGTAATACTCCTGATTATGACCCATAATTTAATGGGTATTGTTTAAGTGTAATTAGGCCGCGCACCTGTTTGCAAAGACACCTGTAAACAGCCAGCAAGACAACGCTGTCACGACTAATAGCCGTGGTCTCTTTCAGTAAACACCTGGGGGAATTCAGGACAAGAATAGTGCCCCAGTAGCACGTGCATGTAGTAAGGGCCGACTATGGAGGATCGGTCAGATTCGGTGATGGGCGATGGGGTGGCCTAGTGGGTAGAGCGTTCACGCGTCACAACGAAAACCTTGGGTCGATTCAACACATGGATACAATGTGTGATCCCCATTTCTGGCGGCTTGGATATTGCTAAAACACGGTGCAAAACAGTCTGGGTCACACACTCTGTGTCTTGCTCATATTGCGTGTATCGTTGATCATACTTTCATTCACTGGCTTGTCTGCTACAATCATCCATGTTACAGCTGGAATATTGCTGACAGTGCAGTTAAACCAACATTCACCTGCTCTCATTTATTGAACGAGTTATGTTAAATAATGAAGATAACAATATTTTTATAATAATAAGATTTTTTTCTAAAAGGAGAATTAGTTGTACGATTCAAACTATATCATAAGCATGTGTTTAGGAATCATTGTGAAATAGTGATTATACCAGGTGCTGGTGAAAGTGTGAACGTATCCTGTCCCGCCCGTGGCAACGGCTACAAACACATGCAAGGACAAGTCAACTGTAAACCTGAAAAAAAACCCACGTTAAGACATGTTGTCTCACATATAATTATGGCATGTCCGGTAATCAAAGCATCAATTTACACAAGTCTTTTATTTTCATTTGCCATTGTGATCCGATATTACGTGGCCTACTACTTACTGAAAGGCTTGAAATGGAACATTGCGCCTATGAGTGGAATGTTATAAACACCTCCTGGGCCGGGGATGTCTTTGAAGGGCCTCACATTTTCTACGCTAACGTCGCACGCTTGTGTACCTTTCCCGGACCGGTGTCGTATCGATCGATTCAGCTTCCGTCTTAACTGCCCAGCAGTGAGATGGAACGCGTTCATGCTGACCTGCAATGTAGCTGTAAAGAAAAACAGTTTAATCTGTCTCACTTTGTTTTCGCTTTTCTCAGGTTTGGCTCATCCCATTGTAGCCTTGTAAGTGAGTGAGTGAGTGAATATGGTCTTACACCGCTTTTAGCAATATTCCAGCAATATCACGGTGGGGGACACCAGAAATGGGCTTCACTTGTGTATGTTGGGATTCGAACCCGGGTCTTCGGCGTGACGAGCGAAGGCTTTAACCACTAGGCTACCCGACCGCCCCAGTCTTGTAAGTGGCAAACGTCTGAGATCTGCATCACTTCGGGCTTTCCTCCCACATTGAACTGACACGCCGTGATATAGCTGGAATACTGTTCAAAGCGGCGTTAAACCCAAACTGGATATATAGAATACTATTGTCTCACTTTATGGTTTTGGAACAATGTATTGGTAGCCAACCCAGCATAACACTGGTGAAGGTGACAGTGCCACATCAGTATTTCTCAGTTCCAAATCCATTGACATTGATGTAGAGACAAGTCACTGTCTCTTTCAAGTATCAATATATGTATGATTGTGGTACCAACGTAAGATAAAATCGTTGTATTTAGAAGTATAAGTACTGAGATCATATCAACAGCACTCCGGTTTAATAACATCAGGGGTTTCAGGGAATGTGGCGAAAAAGAAAGAAAAGATTATAAGGAATTGCCCTTGGATTATAAAAACGGGAAACCGTTTATGACATATATATGATTTAAACCTTGTTGAAAATTGAAGAAAATGGCACAAACAGTGCTGGATTCATATGTAGGTATAACATCATAGACGATTCAGGTTAATTTTAATAAAAAGTAATGAAACATGGTGATATAAAACGTGTTTCTGGAGGTCACGATTTCCTTAACCATCAGAAGGCCCTTCTTAAAGAATCACGTTCATCATGACATTGCTGCAACAGTCGACACCTTCACGTACTCGACAAACAAGATAGTCAAAATGCTATCGCTGTGCGATGTTTACCTCCAACTGGGCTGAAGCTTGAACGTTGTCGGCTCCTCCGACATTGAGTTATTTCAATCAGGGCACCGATGTCAGTTTCCAAATACTAGTACGCCAACAAAGACATCAGTCCAGTCTACCAACATGACGAAATGTCATCACTATCAGGCCTGACGTTCTCAGATATTATAATATTATTTATGCGCGACATATTCGACACTTGGTGCTACTGTCTTCAAAAATACAGAAACAGCCACGGAATGTTAAATTCACGTTCTCGCGGTAATTGCGATGTTTGCTCAGCCATATGTGACGCTATCCATACCTGCAGAAGGCATTGACGATGACTTAAGTGAAGTGACACTGACGCGCCGGCGCCCTAACCCATCCTCGATATCAGTGTATTATATCTCCATTCTAATATGATAAATATCATGAGCCCCTTCTCCACCAAAGTCCCGTCAACACCCCTCCCCGCCCCACCCCACCCCACAGTCTCCCTGAGAGAATTATAGGGCTACTGGTAACGTCGCACTATTCAAATCTGGCTCCAAACGGAGGTTTGGAAGCACATGGGTCTAGCGTATTTATCCAAATAGGAAGGAGATACACTGGATAATCGAAGATAGTTATACCTCAGTAAAGGGGGCACGGGTGGCCCAGTCGTCTAAGGCGCCGCGATTCGCTGTCCCTCCCACATTAAGCTGACACGCCGCGATATAACTGTAATACTGTTAAAAGCGGCGTTAAACCCAACTCACTCACTCAATCACTCACTATACCTCAGTAAGACTGTGAAGATAGATGGAGGGAATTTCCTGTTGTTCACGACCATAAAATCCGTGTAAACCAACCGTGTCAGCGTCAGAACAAATACCTTTATCAGTGCCCTGGGCCACCTTACCCAAAGCGATCTTAGAGCTAAGCTAATCACAACTTCTATACTTTATCATAGAGCTTCGACACTCGTACCGTCAAGATTACCAGGAATGGGGCCCTGGTATCTTCCCAAAAAACAAGTTGTGAAATCTGGTTGAGAGAAAACAAATGACAAACAACGGGGTAAAAAAGAGTGGAGAGTTTTTCCAGAATTTTGGCATCGCTTATTCATTACCCCAATAACCTTCCCGGAGTTATTGTTTGTAATCATCCTTTGCCTCATCATCCCTTGTTGATAGTCGAGCGATGTTTAACCTGCCCCCGGGGATGTTTCATGACTGTTTACTCAGGACCGGAACCAAAGCTGGGGGATTTCTTACAACCGACTCAATCTATCTGTACACATGCTTGACAAGTTTATAACACTGCTCAGAGTTAAAGGTTCATGACGTTATTCTGATTGTAATAAAATGCAACGAATCTTTATCGGTTAATGAAACCCGACCTCACATGACAGGAACTAATATCTTGACTATGTGAAAGTTGTTGATGCATCGCGTCCTATAGGTTTACCAGGAGTCTTTGATCTAGTCCATACGTGTGTATGAGTAAACAGTTGAGATCCTTTTCGTGGGTTGAACCCCATATCCCCTCTGATAATGTTGTCTGATTTGTCGACATGCATCAATTCGGGATTTCACCCGGCATCAAACTGACACCCCTTCATGTTCAAAGCAACGTTTCAAAAATCTCACTCACTCACTCAAGATGGAAAAAACTGTTGAGGGATAAACATTTTGATAATCTCACTTATACAGAAATTATGTTTATGATTACATTGGACGTTTAATTTACGTGTAACAATTTAAATATTGTTCTACTGCACACAGAAAACAAAAGAAACTATATTTTGAATATTGTCTGTAAAAGTCATTCACAAGACCCAGTTGACTGAAAAGTATGCCAACTTCTCAATTCGTTGAGGTGAGATACTATCTCAATATGACGGTAATTAACAATCCAGATATCACAAATATGTTACGTGGACTTGATGCTTCCCCCATTCAGATACGCAGTCGGCATTGGAGAACTCTTTTTTATGTTTACTTGTGTGTTTATTTCACCGATTGACCTGACAAGTTGATACTGAACAAGATAACTCAGATGTTCGCTGACGAGAAACTTTACAGGCAGCATTTATGGTTTTTTTCTAACCGATCTTACCTAGTGTCTGTGAAGTAAACGAAAAGCAGTTTCCACAGAAACATGATAAATATGCAGATAGATATAGTATTCCATCATTAAATCATGATAAAGATGCGGGTACTGAGCTACATACCTGCACCTGCTTCTTCTCTTGTTGCAAGATGCACAACACTATGTCTCTGCCTGCAAGGCAAGGAGAATCTAAACCATCTGCTTCTTTACTTTGCACAACTGTGTTTAGACACACTTAAATGCATATTGACGAGGGACGAATCATCAGCTATCGGTTCATTTACACAAGTGTTAAACTTCAAACACCAGCTACATTTGGAGATTTGAAAAAGCACAGTTTGGTTAAGCCTAAGAATTTCCTATAACTTTAGTGCAGACACATCCGGAAAATGAAATATTTTTTGAAAATCCGCCATCAAACTATCGTATACACTCTCTCGTATTTAAATGTTGATGCGGTTGGCTAAATATCTCGAGGAAAAGATGTTGCTTTGAAAGCGTGGGAAACAAGGCCTATAAATGATGCTATCGGTCTGTGTTGAAAGTATGAACGTATATGTAAAATTCATAAAAGATGCACATTGAGGAGACAGATGAAACACTTTCTTTGTGTTCTCAAATACGACAGTGCATTAGTTAATGTTGCACTCCTTCGAAAAGTTAAACGCTTCGCTAAAGGCAAACTAAAGACTTTTATAAACATGAACTTATAAAATACACAAATACAAATACAAATAAATGTATGAGGCTTATTTGCATGTGTGTTGTTTTGAATCGCACCCGGCTGTATCCAAGTTATATTACAACGACCTGTAAACAATCGAGCTTGGACCAGTGATTATAATTATCAGCAACGATCTGCGCCGTTGGGGGTACAATAACACGCAATTAAGTAAGTTACCCAGCCTGATCACCCTATCCATTTGGTCGCCTCTTACGAACAACAGAGGTTGCTGTGACATTTTCCTAAAGACACACTATCAGTGCGTTTCTTGATTGAATATTACTCCTTTTTGCTCGGGTGTCTCTTTTGCAGTAAGAGGATCCTACACGTGGTATTCTGCAATACATTATTATCATATCACATTTTACTTAGACATTGGAATTTTTCTGTCAATTGTTTTAAATCACAACAACATGACATTGTCACTGACTAAATTTCAAATATGCCTGTACGGTGATAATTGGGGATATAACACACCCACACACCCACACACCCACACACCCACACACCCACACACACACACACACATATATATATATATATATATATATATATATATATATATAACACGTTTCTTCAACGTCTCTTCAAATTACGGCTTCGTGGTCGTGGTCGTGGTCGTGGTCGTGGATTGTTCATTTCGTATGCGCTATAATTTTATTTGGGGAATCCCCACTTGTCACCGTATCAGGCATGGCCGCTCTTTCATAACAAAAGGTGAGGTAGGGTGAAATGGGGCTTAATGTTGCGTCCAATATTATTGCATTCCATTATATAGCAACGTGCATGCACGTGTGTGTAGCTGCTTGTACTAGTCCGGACTAATAGTCGATTTTATAGTTCTAGCCCACTCAGACACAGTATATTGACTACGATCCGACCACTTCTTGTTTTACCCCCTTAATGCCGAGCGCCAGTCAGCGTTACAACAAGTACCATCTTTTAATGTCTTTATGTATGACACGGCCGAGGATTGAACCCGCTCTCCGGGCAGACGCTCTACCACTAGACCACGGTGGCGGCCTTCATAACATAAAGGCAAACTAGTTTCGATGATGGATTGTACATGAACTGAATACACAATTGCAGCCAGTGATGGTTAATTATAACCATGTACAATAATGAGGTGAGGTGAAATATAGGGTTTAACGTCGCGCCAAAGATTATTGCACTTATTGCGACGTGCATGCACGTGTGTGTGTGTGTGTGTGTGTGTGTGTGTGTGTGTGTGTGTGTGTGTGTGTGTGTGTGTGTGTGTGTCTGCTTGTACTAGTCGCAGTTTAACATGAATACCTCACTCAGACACAGTATACTGACCCCGAGCCGACAAGTCCTTGTTTTAGTCCCTTAATGCCGGGTTAACAACAAGTACAATATTTTAACTTCTTTTGGTATGACGCGGCCGGGGATCGAACCTCAGACATTCCGCTCTCCGGTCGGACGCTCTATTACTAGACCATGGAGGCGGTCTTGTATAATAATGCATCAGCATATATAACACATATTTTATCACCACATCTTGCCAAATTTTTTTTATAAATTTACCTCCCTCTATTGCTCACCTGTCATTTGTGATTCTTTGCTCAGCTTCAGAACATTGCTCGTATGTTGCATCAAAGTGGTAAGGCCTTCATCACTATGAGCTTTCCTGCTTCATTAAGCTGAAACCTCAACACGTGGTGACAGGCACAGATCAGAGATCAAGCGGGAGTCAAGTTAGACTTTTATTTATAATTTTAAACTCGAGTTTTAAGGATTAACTAAACTGGTTGTTTTGCCCTCCGATTAAATTGCAAGTGATTCCATGGAAGTTAAGTGGCTAACCAAGAAACTTCTTTGGGGTTTGTTTCCAGAAACATATTTGTATGAAGACAAGATATTTTTTCATCTACTGCTGAAAAACCAGATGTTTTTTTAATGAAACTATTATCCTATTTTTTTTAATAAACCTCTTTCACCAACGTATTTCTTGTGGCAGACAATTTCTTTTTAAATATCTTCTCCAAGCAATTTCGGGGAAAATGTTTGTTTTCGATAAAATCCCAGCATTTTGCATTTTGCGAGAAATTGGTGTCGTCAATGATTTTCAGTGATCCATTCATATATTTTTCACCACTATTTGTCATTTTGCGCCCGACTAGTTGTGTTGTGGCGGATGATCGGGGATTGTTGGTCTCTGGCATTGACGTTTAGTATTAATAAAGTAACATTTTGTATATTATAAACACTCAATCTGTATCTATACATATGTACGAAAACAATATCCGTCTGTAAGTAACGCTGTGTCCCTGTAAAAAAATATCCGTCGGTAAGTAACGATGTGTCCTTGTAAAACAATATCCGTCGGTTAGTAACGCTGTGTTCCTGTAAAACAATATCCGTCTGTAAGTAACGATGTTTTCCTGTAAAACAATATCCATCTATAAGTAACGATGTGTCCCTGTAAAACAATATCCGTCGGTAAGTAACGCTGTGTCCCTGTAAAACAATATCCGTCTGTTAGTAACGATGTTCCCCTGTAAAACAATATCCATCAGTAAGTAAAGCTGTGTCCCTGTAAAACAATAGCCGTCGGTAAGTAACGCTGTGTCTCAGTAAAACTATATCCGTCGGTAAGTAACGCCGTGTCCCTGTAAAACAATATCCGTCGGTAAGTAACGACGTGTCTCTGTAAAACAATATCCGTCGGTAAGTAACGACGTGTCTCTGTAAAACAATATCCGTCGGTAAGTAACGCTGTGTCTCAGTAAAACAATATCCGTCGGTTAGTAACAACCTGTCCCTGTAAAACAATATCCGTCGGTTAGTAACGACGTTTCTCTGTAAAACAATATCCATCAGTAAGCTACGACGTGCCCCTGTAAAACAATATCCGTCGGTAAGTAACGCTGTGTCTCTGTAAAACAATAACCATCAGTAAATAACGACGTGTCTCTGTAAATCAACATCCGTCTGTAAGTAACGACGTGTCCCTGTAAAACAATAGCCGTCGGTAAATAACGCTGTGTCTCAGTAAAGCAATATCCATCGGTATGATCTTAGAGAGGCTTTTGATGACCTGAAATAGCCTCGAAGATGACCCAAGGCCAGAAAAACCTGAGAATATCAAGGCCACACGTCGCGGAACACTAACTCGAGGTGTGCTGTTCCACAAGGACAATGCACTTGTGCACAAATCGCTTGTTGGCATGGCTGCAATCAATGACTGTGCTGTGAACTCATTGAACATCTTTGGTGATGACCAAATTTCAGTTGTCCACCTCTTCCCAAATTTGAAGAAAGAACTATCTGGCAAGCATTGTGCAAATAATTATGACGTAATTTCTGCTGTGGGTGACATTTGATGCCACCAAGAGGAAGCATTCGGTGGACTCACACTTAAGGGCTTAAAACAGTATGATAAAACATAGCATTCACAAGTCCAAACTGAACAAGCCCGAGTGACAGTTATCCCCGGACAACCTTCACGTTTCAGAGTTTGGTCAAGAACACAGTTTCCTATGGTGGCCGAGAGGGGACATCATTTTCTCGCTCTATCGCTTTCTCGTTTTATCGCTTTCTCGCTTTCTCGCTTTCTCGCCTTCTCGCTCTATCGCTTTATCCCTTTCTCGCTCTATCGCTTTCTCTGATGACTGACCATAGTCATATGAAAGAATCGGGTGTTCTTTAACTTCTTTTGAATAGTATGTACTGTAAATCTTGAAATTAGCGTTAGAATTAATTATAATGAAAAAGAAAGAGAGTAGTATACTTTGCATTTAGGTCTCAGAAATGACTGTTGATAAGACGGCCTCACTGCACACTTTGAATACCAACTTGAATATAAAACCAATCAACTATCTTTTTCCTCATTACGGTTACTGAGAACAATATGTCATCCAAAAACTAGAAATTACATAATGGACATCCGGTACTATTACCATCGCTTGGGTGAGGACTTCCGCAAACAGAATAAACATTGATATTAGCGTTGTTTTTAGGAAAACACTATTGTTTTTTAGGAAGTACGTACTACTCAGCGCTAATGAGCGGTGTTATTTGCTATTTGTTTTGATAACTTGGCCTGGGGGCGGGAGATCCAATAAAACACCTAAACAGGGCCATAAATCAATCAAATTCATTTTTACGCAGAAATCCGTGGATTGTTATAAAAGCACCTATGTCTGTACTGTTAAATTATGTTGAAGTAGATAGTGAGAAAATTTCAACATTCCGTCCATATGTATAATTTGAAATGTGACTGGAAAAATCTCAGCTCTCTTTTATGATTAAAACCCACATTAGCCTCCGCCCACTGAGGTCAGGTTTAACAATTCATTAATATTTTTTTACGTATATACTTTTAATCGTAAAGAAACACATAACACATGCGACCCATATAGTGGCCAAGAGGAAATATTGCTATACCGCGAGAAAGCGATAGAGCGAGAAAGCAAGAAACGAGAAAGCGAGAAAGCGAGAAAG